ACACGTTTTTTTTAAATATTGGATCTATGAAAATAACACTAGAAAAGTGCCCTGACTTTGGTGAAGTGTAAAATGTGGTTTTCTATAACAGTGAGATAAAAAAATATTAGAGTCTATCTAACAGTTTTTCAGTCAAAATATGTTCTGAGCTTCTTTAAAGATATTCTTACTAACAGACAAAAAAGTGCATGCTAAAATCGATTATTTATAGTAAGGGCCACTAAATCACAATATTATACTTATAAAATATGTGTAATCTTCATTAGTTTGATAATATCGTTAGTTTTTCACAGAAAAAATTATAGAGAAATATATAAAGTGACGTCTTCTGCTTTGCTCTTCATGTTTAGTTCGATTTTACCATTGTAAAGACGTTGTGAATAACTTTTAATCTAAACTCACCCAAATGCACTCAAAGTTATAGTGCACAAAGTGCGCAAACACAAATGCCCTCTATCATTTGCACTCTCAGTGTCCAGTACGATGAAAATTCGACACGATCGATGAGAGATCAGACGGAGCACCGACAGATTAACCTCTATACTAATATTGATGTTTGTTGATTTTTATATTTTCTCACGCTTGAGGGTTTTTGGTAGAAAGGTCTTAAAGAGATAAGTCATCCTTTGTACACATGGTATTTGTTTTCACTTTTATGATTTTCTTTCTGATACATAAATAAATAAAAACTAAAATAACCAATTTCACAACTGCGGGTTACTGTTACTTAAAATTTCATCACACATTTCTATACCTACTTATATTTATCATGTAGTTTCCCCGTGCTACGCAGATTGCTATTGTTATTAGGGTATTATTATATACTAGCATTGCACGCGGCTCCGCCCGCGTTCAGATGACCAAAAACCTAATACTTAGGTTTTACATGTATCAATACTCTTACAATGCAGTTTTTGTGTTTTTTTTTCAGAAATGAGATATTTTCCCGCGATAAAAAGTAGCCTATGTGTTGACCTGGATTACCAGCTATTATCATACCAAATTTCATCAAAATCTGTCCAGCGGTTTTCTCGTGATGCGGTAACAGACAGACAGACAGACAAAAATTCTAAAAACTATAGATTCGGACTCTGTATCGATAATATTGTCTATTTCAATTTGATTTCCCAAAAAATATTTAATGTACAGATTTGACTTAGTTAGAATTTTATTATATGTATAGATTATGTTTACTCTGTTCGAGAATCAAAAGCGACAAATCTCGTTCAATTATTATTATTGATTAGCGTTTACTTGAGACTCTGCTCGCGTACTTCGTTTATACATTTCTATACCTTTATGAATTACAGCTTATATATTACACTGATGTATAAACTATATTACTGCAAAGTTTTATCAAAATCCGTCTAGTAGTTTTGGCGATGAGAGTAACAAATATCCACCCTTGCAATATTTAGTATTTATTATATTAGAAGGATTTGTGTTGGACAGTTCTGGTTATAAGTTCAAGCCAAAAAGATATTCTTTTTATCTTTGTTTTTTATGCTTTAGATGTCATTTACGAGTACTTAAAAGTTATAATTCGTTATCATAAATATTAGCCTCCAACACAAACAGTACAGGCTGTGGACTGTGATTGATTTATTACAATGATTGATATCTTGAGGCAGTAATGATAAAAAACTAAAAGTATAGTCATTGACGACGCGTTTGGCTCAGTTTGTAGTGACCCTACGTGCTGTGCCAGCGTTCGCGGGTTCGAGTCCCGCTGGGGGCATTCATTTGTTTGTGATGAGCACGAATGTTTGTACTCCAGTCATGGGTGTTTATATTTATAATATGTATGTATTTAAAGTTGTATATGTGTAGTGTATCAACTATCTGGTATCCATAACACAAGCCTCGTAGCTTACCATGGAACTAGATGGTGCTGTGTGTTAATGTCCTAACATATTTATTTATTTACATATTTATTAAAGTTAATTCATTGTTTATTTCTAGTATCCAGTTTAACGTGATTATGCATATACTTGAATTGTCCAAATTATCTTAATCGCTATTCTGTGAATTGGACTTTAATTTAATGCTAATTACGGTATTTGCGTCATGAATTTTAAAGAAGTTTTATATAATTAAAATAATATCAGAAAGAAATATTTATATAGGTACATTTACATACATAAAAGAAATATTTACATATATAAATATTTATGTTAGTGTACCTACTGCCATTATTTTTTATTGACTAAAAGATTGTCATAACGATTCGAACTTTATGTTCGCAGGCTCTTTGAATAAACGGTTACAAAACCAAAATGTTCTTGGAAAAAATTAAACATTTAATAGAATTCGGTCACGTTCATTTCTTTAATCACGCAGTTACTGTGGCTAATGGATTTAAATTTGAACTTGGGGGCTATCGATTCGATTAAAACGTAATTAGTTATTATATTTGGTAAACGCATTATAAAATGTTAGAATGGCTGACATTGATCATTCTGGCCTAGGTATAAAAATACTAGCGACTGATGTGTCTTTTTTACTTATAATATTGTAAAGAGCTAGCGAAGCCTGTGATACTGCAGGCCTATCTGTGCATTTTTCATCAAAATCAGTCCAGCCATTCCAGCGTGAGGGATTAAAAACATACACACACAATACATAATAACTTGTGCATATATAACAGTAATATGATGAAGTTATGCATTCTACACAGTTAACGAAATAGTTAAATATTATACTTGTGTTGTTCTTTTTTTAATATATTAAGAGGGTATTAGCATATTCAAGTGTTTATACCTACTTCGAGAACATGCACATTGGAAATCTATACATATAATAAAATTCTGAGTTGAATCTGTACATTAAATATTTTTTGGAAAATCATATTGAAATAGTCATTATTATCGATACAGAGGACGAATCTATAGTTTTATGACGAATCTATAGTTTTTAGATTTTATGTCTGTCTGTCTGTGTATGACCGCATTACGAGAAAAACACTGGATGGATTTTGATCAAATTTGGTATGATGATAGCTGGTTATCCGGGTCAACATATATTTGCCATTGATTTATGTCATATAAATATCTATACTAATAAATGGAGAACCAACTTTTTTGTTCGATTATACTGCGATAGCTACTGAACCGATCGAAATAATACTCATACACAAAATGCAGCGTGTTTCGGAGAAGGTTTTAGTATATGATATGTTGGTGATTAATGTACTATGCGGGAGAAGCCGCAAGAAAATGCTAGTATAGTATATTTCTAAATAGAAACGTAATCCGGCATAAAGTAACTACAGAGTGGCGAATTATTCTAATGCCCAACTATAAATCATTGTTAAGTACCAGGGTCATAACGTGTTGTTTTTAATAACTTCGAAGTATATTATTGTTTATTATAGTCATTATTTATAAGAAAAAGATAAAACTAGCTAGGTAGCTAGGCAGTGGTAGCCCAGTGGTAATACGCTGGCTTGGAAATCGAGTGGAGCGAGTTCAAATCTCGGGTCTCGCACATCAGATATTCTTATGTACGAATCACTTTCAAGATGACAATGATTTTACATTGATATTTGGTCATCTGAACGCGGGCGGAGTCGCGGACAATGATAGTATCCTATATTTATGTACTTCATAACAAAAAATACAAGTTATGGAATATAAATTTCTCTATTTTAAAACCATACCTTAATCCCTCGACGACCGCGGACACGCCGGCGTTACAGAAATGTAAGACACTTGACTTACGGTAAAGGAAAATATCGTAAGGAAACTTGCATGTCTGAGAGAACATAGTAAGTTTTTGAAAGACATGTGATTACCGCCAACCCGTACTTGGCCAGCGTGGTGGACCATGGCCTGATTCCTCGCCTTGAAGGGAGGCCTGTGTCCATAAGTGGGAGGTTAAAATGGACTGAATACAAAACTAGCTCATGATTGCGGCTTCACCCGCGTATGAGTTTCTTTTTGTTATTTATCTATTATGCAATTTTCATTGTAATATCTTAAAATAACAGTGTATTTAGAAATGTAGGAAAGTTACTAGGATAATACTATAATTTAATCTTAAAGTACTGCACGAGATAAATATAATAACGCCTTCAATTAAATAATAACCTCGGCACTACACGTCGCCTGTCATATTGTAGCACAATGGCAGCTTAATTGAGCGTAATCTGCATAGTTATCTACTGATATGATGGACGAAATTACACTGTTATTGTTAAACTAGTACCTGTAGAGCTCCTGATGGTGTTCCGAAATTATATCGATGTTATGTGATGGGGATTTGTCTTAGGGGAAAACATAGTATTTACAGTTTAACACCTCCAGGTAAATTTCTAAGAAATTAATTAAAATTTTAAGAAATCTATTGTTAACTGTAACGCCGGCGTGTCCGCGGTCGTCGAGGGATTAAGGTATGGTTTTAAAATAGAGAAATTTATATTCCATAACTTGTATTTTTTGTTATGAAGTACATAAATATAGAATACTATCATTGTCCGCGGCTCCGCCCGCGTTCAGATGACCAAAAATCAAATTCTTAGGTTTTACATATTAATATACTCTCAAATTGCAGTTTTTGTATTTTTTGTGAGAAATGCAATTTTCCCTTGGTAAAAAGTATCCTATATGTTGACCCGGATAACCATCTATCACCATACCAAATTTCATCAAAATACATCCAGTGGTTTTTCTGTGATGCGGTAACAGACAGACAAAAATTCTAAAAACTATAGATTCGGCCTAATGTTTATTTCAATAAGATTTTCCAAAAAATATTTAATGTACAGATTCGGCTTAGTTACTATTTTATTATATGTATAGATATATTTTTTGTTTTTTTAAGAGCACAATATCACTTCGAAATTGAAGGTATATGTATCTAAATATTTTATTACATCTCTTTTACATCCCCAATTATTCCTTACGAATAAAGCGCTAACACACAATTACAACACGATTTAGTCGTATGTATAAATTATTAAGAATATTATTTATTAATTAATATCTTAATTTATATTATAGTGGCATGGCGGCATTTCCTGTGAAGCAGCGGCAGCATCATCTTCTATGGCAGGCGCAGGAGCTCCCTTACTGCCTGACTCAGAACTGATAAAACTTTGCCCAATGTGTAGAGTGCCGATAGAGAAAGATGAAGGATGCGCTCAAATGATGTGCAAGCGATGCAAACACGTGTTCTGCTGGTACTGTTTAGCCTCGTTAGACGTGAGTATGATTTTGTACATGTATTTTATTTCTAAACTATAAGTGTTGAAATTCATATTCTCTATTTTTCTTCAAAAATAAAAAACAATATTGACTTGAAACGATACATAAGAAAGTTTATATTTTTAACAACAAAATTTAAATACATTAATAAATAATGTGCCTCAATATATCTAAGTACCATTTAATACACGAACTGTTCTTATTTGATAGATATCGTTTGATAGATGTTGTATCGAAATATGAGGGCATGAATCGTCTGTTACAGTTGCCAAATTTTTAATCCCTCCACGACCGCGGACACGCCGGCGTGTCAGTTAACAATAGATTTCTAAGAAATTTGATTAATTTCTTAGAAATTTACCTGTAGGAGTTAAACAGGAATATTCTGTTCAAATGCATTTCTCAGCTGAAGATCAATCAACATATGTACTTAAGTTTTAGTTGAACATATACATACATATTACTATCGTTGACACTGAAATGTGGCTCTTGGCTCGATAAATTTAATAAATAAATCTGTTGGGACATTAACACACACCAGAATCTAGTTCCATTGTAAGCTACGAGGCTTGTGTTATGGATACCAGATAGTTGATACACTACACAAATATAACTTTAAATACATACATATAAATATATACACCCATGACTGGGGTACTAACATTCGTGCTCATCACACAAATGAATGCTTCCAGCGAGGCTCAAACTCGCGAAAGCTGGCACGGCAAATCACCCATGACTGGGGTACTAACATTCGTGCTCATCACACAAATGAATTCCTCCAGCGGGACTCAAACCCGCGATAGCTGGCGCGGCAAGTAGGGTCACTACAAACTGAGCCAAACGTGTTGTCGAAGTGTAACAATGTAAGAAAAACTGTCTAGGTTTTTAATGGTTCTGAGAAATAGATATATAATACGAAATACAGATTTTTTTTAAATGACTGCTCCATTGATGTAGAAGAAAAAGCAGTCATGAGGACTGCCGACAGAAGTGAAAACTTAAAACTATAAACAAAAAGTTGTTATTTATTGGATATTCAAATTAATTGAAAAATTTAAATTTGTAAATTAAAACTGTTTACATTTATCTGGTTTTGACATCTACCGGCACTCTGAGTGTAAGCGTTAACACGTCACGTGACCATGTCGATGACGACTTACATGAATTTACTCCTCATCCAAACCTGGTTATAGAAGTTTTCACTTTAGATATAAAAGAATCGTCCGTTCCTAATATGAAACTGAAATTAAAATTTATTTATTTAGTATCAATTCTTATAAGTATACAGTAAACAACAATGGCTACGATGATACTGTAAAAGTATATATATATATATATTATATATATAATATATATATATATATATACATATATATAATGTATAAATATGTTTGTCATTTAAACAAATAATTTCGTAAAGGCAGTAGGAGGTGTAACAAAACACTTAAAGTATCCGCTAAATCAGGACAGGGACTGGTCATGTTTATAATTAGAATACCAATCCCTTGACACTCATTACGGTGTAAATTTACGAGCATATAGGTAATATACCAGCAGGCTAATAATATATTTTAAGTGTTTACTAAGTTATAAAAACAGACGCCATATTGATATTCTTCTTTTTACCAACTTTAAAAAAAGCATGACAATTGAAAGGAAATTTCACTACAAAGGAATTGAAATTTTTTCGTACATAAATAATAAGCCATGTATCTATATAGTAAATATTATTATTTATTTATTTTCTATAAATATAATATGCCAGAATATATAACTTGTCTTTATGTCTCTTCCAGCAAAAACATGTACTTTCATTTCAAACCCTTCAAGTTTCATGTCTTTCGGCAAAAAGTAACCTATGTCCATTTACAAGGTCCCATGTGTCTCTATACCAAAATTCATTCAAATTGGCTCAAGGGTTTAGGCGTGAAAACGTTACAGACAGACATAAAATTACACATTTATAATATTAGTATGTATTGTGTAATCATACTTAGTCCAATACGTATTTGAGGCCTTAATATATACCTAAATATTTATATCAAGAAAGTATAACGCTTTCTATTCTATTTGCCAAACCGGTTTTTGATACGTCAAAATAGTCGCGGAACAGTTTTTATGTTGCTTTCTTTTCATAGCAAATTAAGTAACTTTATATAATCTATATATACATCTATACATATAATAAAATTCTAACTAAGTCAAATCTGTACATTAAATATTTTTTGGTAAATCTTTTTGAAATAGACATTATTATCGATACAGAGGCTGAATCTATAGTTTTTAGAATTTTTGTCTGTCTGTCTGTCTGTCTGTTACCGCATCACAGAAAAACCACTGGATTTTGATGTTTGGTATGGTGATAGCTGGTTATCCGGGTCAACTATTTATTTATTACATTTTTTATGGTTTTTAACAAATCTATGACTAAATTTTGTAAATATCAACTTGTTTTTTATATTATATTTTTAACTAATGAACAAACTAGGTTGGACTATAAATGAATTTCATTTCTTTCTGTTATTACCGTAAAATCTATTTTTTCAGAAAAAAACAATAAATTTAACTCTATAATCGATCAAAAATTAATAAGATATCAATAAATTCGAAAAAATTAAAACAAATAGATTCTACGGGAAAAAATACAAAACGAGAGGTATACTTTAAGTGACTTCCAATTTTTTATTATTTCACGACATTTCAATTTCAAAAAAAAAACATTTTTTTTTGTAAATGTACCTATGTAGTAATAGTGTTGTTTAATAATTTGTTTTTTAATAATAGCAAACTTAATACTTTCTTAGATTTTGCGCGAATATTTGACATTTTAAATAAAATTATCTTTTCGGATTTTTTCGTGGATTTATTTAGATTTTTGATTCCCGACGTTTCGACGACCGGAAATTGAAAAAAACTTTTTCAACGCTTTGCGTTCCCCCATTTGTCGGGGGGTAGCTGGGCATCGGGGACCTTTTAAGAATTTCTATTCCTTATATACCTACTACCGTTTTAAAACCATAAAACTTTAGGTTTCAATTTGTTTGTTACCAAACCGGATTTCGATCGGAGTAATTAGTTATTTGAAGGATTTTTATATCCTTTAAAATTTCAAAATTATTTTATATGTTCTTAAATTACAAGAACAACAGCGAAAGGTCGTCTTAATAAAGATGTATTTTTAATAAGCGCTCCATTTAAATTCGACAACGTCTTTCTTATTATTATTCAAACATCGAAAATGATTCGAAAAAATAAACATGTTTTTTTAATAAAATTGACTATGGCGTCTCCTCGTTGCATTTTTAGTGTTTATTTATTGTTGGTGTCATCGTATATATATATGTACTTATATTACGAAAAAATAAAGCAAAAAATGTGTGTTATTTTTACGTAGAGGTAGATTATAGAACGAGTAGCGTTGGCAACTTTTTATCCTTGTATTTTAAAAGGTAGTCAGTAGTTATCTGAAAATCGTCAAAACATGAAAAATAAAATGTTAGGTACATCAGGTTTATTGGCCATTCTATCTCTCTATAGCGCATGAAAAGCGATACGTAGTGACATCTATCGTGATCTCAAAATTGTCAGTTTCTAATCTTCTATATAGAGGTCACTTTTATTTAGATTACTACGCAAGTGAGATTTTAATATTAAACGAGCAATTCTTGTATATATAAAAATTTATTTCTTGTATCTCGGAACCGGCTCTAATGATTTGGATCAAATGTTGCTGATAATGCTTATTAAGTTTATCTATACGTGTCTTCTCTAAAAAAAGCATATTTTATAATATTATCGTTATATAGGGTACAGGTAAGTAGGAGTTTCTTATATAGGAGATAAGTTGAAAAAGTGTTCAACTGTATGCTGAAAATTGATGGCGCTGGCCTACGAAAAACTACGATATGAATTTAGCTGTTTTAGGCGGAGTTCAAAAATTGTGCTTTGTTGAAACCTAAAGTAACCTAAGTTGTTGAAACCTAAAGTAGTCTAAAATGATTTAGTAAATATATCCATCCTTGTTTGTTTTTCTATCTTAATCTAATTACTTTTTACGCTTTCTTTAAAATGTATCCTACGCTACCGCAGCGCCACCCTTATTGGACGAGTTTTGACGGACACTTTTTCATACACAGTTACTCCACCTTACCTCTACGCTCCATAATAATTATCGTGATTCGTTTCATAGTATGGTCAGAGTGGCGCTAGTGTACTATGATATTTATTCCAAAAAGATGTGACTTTTGCAGTTTGTAGAGTCGTCTTTGTCTACAAAATAGCTACTATATAATTTTGTTTAGAATTTTAAGAATTTTTATTTATGCTTTCAGGACGACTTCTTACTTCGACACTACGATAAGGGACCGTGTAAAAATAAACTTGGACATTCAAGAGCTTCTGTTTTATGGCATCGTGCACAGGTAATGGTTTTGTAATATTCTAATTAACATTTAAATTAGGAAGTTTTTGAGATTTTTTGTGGTGTCTTATTTTATAACGACGGAATCGTTGAATAAACTAATATGAAACAAGATATACAGACAGACCACATTGAACTAACATATAAAATAGACACTATTTATGACTATTTATAATAACAGTTTAGTTTAACTCTAATGGGAATACTAGTATGTAAACTAAACGACACTTTATACGCAAAAAATGAGAACATGTAAGTTGAACTTGTTAATAGATGGCGCTGCCCAAGAATGGTGAAAGGAAAAAAATGCACAAAGTAAAACATGAAAACAGACTTAAAAAATAATTTTATTTGACACCATTGTCAAGGGTCTGATCTGATATTAATTTAAAAAACATACATATATGAATATCCCCGAGGGCAGAATTACTTTTAAAATGATTCTGAATTCCGTGTAGCTTTTAAATAAAAAAAATACATACAGACGAACATTGCGAACATAGAACCTCCTCCTTTTTGGAAGTTGGTTTAAGTAATTTATATCAAATCGAAATATCCGTATAGAATGTATATAAATAATAATGTTTGTGTTTATGTTTTCAGGTGGTGGGCATATTCGCTGGTTTCGGCCTTCTATTACTGGTGGCCAGTCCACTGCTGCTGCTGGCCGCGCCTTGCATCGTTTGTTGTAAATGCAGGTAATGTTATATACTTAATCATAATTTATGATAAATTGAGTGAGTTAATGAACAAATAAATGAATGAATAAATGACTTAAAATTCAACTACAATAAAAATGCATGTCCAAGAGTAGAATATTATTCCAAAATTTTTATAAGGAATGAGTTAAATATGTTTAGACAGGTACTCGAAAAAATGTAAATTTTCAAAGCTGTTATAAAAAAATTATAATTTCAAAGGACATTTTTAGAGTATGTACTACAACGACGGACGGTCTGTGTATATCCATGAGTTGCATGAACATGTTTATGATCTAAAATACATACATACATACATAATATAATACAACTATTACTACTTCATAATATTTACTTAAGATTAAGAAAAAATATGCAATTCTTTCAGACTCTGCAATCCGAATACAAAGAATCTAGAAGAAGTTGACGAAATAGAAAGCATCAGTCCCGGACGAGACGACGACGACATAACTCGCGCAAGGTACTCCGACTGACGTAAATATTAAACGATTCTGGACTTTATACGCTGGTAATACGTACTAAAGCTGTCTGTACGTTTTTGGATGTCTAATCTGTTGTTGTAGGATGTATGCGTAGAGAAAGAGAATTAAATTAAAATTGGTATGGGAATGTGAACCGTATGTGCAAAGTTATACGCACTTAAGTTGTATGTATGGGTTATATATTTGAGTTAAGAGTAATGTGAATGATTTATGGGCTTGAAGTTATATGTTCGAAATTGACTTTACATGAATATAATATATTAACTATAGTATATTTAAATATGTGGAACATCGTCGGTACAAATAAAAATGTCAACAAACAACAATGATACTAGAAGCGACAAATTTTAAAAATGAAAATAACATATAATATCTAAAAGATTGCTTCGTCGTAATATCTGTAAGAAGTTTATGAGTATAGAAGTAAATCAATCATGAAAGTGTGTAGTGTCATTATAAAAAAAGGAAAATAACTAGATTTTAATCTGCAGCAAGAAAAGGTATTTAACCTTATTACTTCAAAAGAAAAAATTAAAAAAAAATAATTAAAAAATCTATGGTATCAATAAAATCATCTTCATACTGATTGTACATTAAAAAATTTAAGATTTGTTGAAATTAAATAAAAATGTACAACATAGAACTTGTAGCTGTAACTGATTGATGATTAATCGAAGATAGTATTGACTCGTATAAAGACGTTTCATTAGGGCTATTTATATGATCAGCCTCTCCAAAGAACATTTAATTAAACTAGCGACTCACCCTCGCTTCTCTCGGGTTCGCCTCTAGGAAAACAAAATCAAACTTATCCATACATTTACACGGGAACTGTACATTTTTTCATGATAAATAGTAGCCTATGTGTTATTCCACACTATAATCTATCTCTGTGCCAAATTTCATCCTAATCCGTTCAGCCGTTCTGGTGTGAAAGCGTAACAAACATCCATACTCACAAACTTTCACGTTTATAATATTAGTATAGATTATATATTATCACAAAAATCTGTGCAATACATAATATTTATTAAAAGGTTAACTGATCGATGAATATAAAAAAAATATAGGGGGCGCTTCTATGTGTTCTTTGACTAAACCACGTATAATCAATCAAATGTTGAAAAATGCTACCTATTATTCAATGATCTCAAATGTCAAATATCAAAGCAAATTAACTTGGAGAGGCAGGACGTCATATTAAATTATGTAATTTATAATTCGTGTGTATAAAGAATGGGATTATAAATGGCGTCGTCTATAATCACCTCTCACTCGGAATCTATTGCCGACTTACTTGCACATCCATATAGACAGGACAAACAAAATATAGTATTTATTATAATGCAATAGCTAGTTTAATTTCATAGACTGGGCAAAATTGACAAAGAGAGAGAGAGAGAGGGAACGTGCGGCCAATACCCGCTTTTATTCCAATTTGAATTTTAAACGGAATGTGAAAAAATAATAATATTATTGAAAATTATAATATTATAATGGAATGTAAAATGGTTATACATATCTTCATTAATCGTATTTCAATTAACACAGAAGACTGCTGGCCGCACATTCGTCTTGTCTCTGTCGCGCTTTTCCGGTATTTTTAGCTGACCGCTGGCAAAGAAATGCTTAGTCCACTCTCTATGACTACTTAAGTTTATTTCAAAACTTTTGACGTTAATAAAAAATAATATTGGTGCAATATCATTTCACATCAAAATATCGTAATTTCAATATTAATACAGGTACAATTAGTCCTATAACCATCAGAATTGTTCCCAAATAATGTTTAAAAATGGCATATTTCTTTAATCATTACAATATCATCATTATAATCTGATCACAATAAAAAAAAATGTTACTTGGCTGAGTTTCTTGTGGGTTCTTCTCAGACCAGGGCGCGTTACGAACCCTCGTAGCTTTAGTTTAAGTCTTCTAATTGACGTACACAAGTGATCATTGAATTGATACAATGTGTAAAAAGAAGTAAATAAAATAAATAAAAATAAATAATAATGGCAAATGCTTATAGTGTATTCTGATTATAGTACAACCTAAATTTCTAATCCCATTCTTCATTTGCATTCACTATTTAAAACAAAAGTGTGATCGCGTGGAAAAGTACAAAACTAGAAAAAAAAGATATGTGTATTTTGTTACTTTAAAAATATAGATTTATAGATTCGATAGACGGAGGTCGGACATAATGTAAATAAAGAATATTTCATTGTAGTTTAAATGATCGGGGATAATTGAAGTTTCACTATTTTTTAATATCTCAAATTTAGACTCTTTAAAATAGCTAAGACATAAATGAAATATCTTTACTGGCTTGAACATAAATAACTGACTGGTAATAAATTTGATCTTATAATGATATAATCTGAATATCCAAAGTGTCTTTCAGAAGAAAACATAATATTCTAAAAATGTAATTCTAAATATTTAGGCATAAATATGTCGGTTACATAAAATGTATAGTCAAGTATAAATTGGTTGTTGAACATAAAATTAACCTTTGTATTTATTAAATATAACTAGAATTTGACATATTATGTCTAAAATGACATGAAGAGGTGCAAAGAATAATATTGTAACTCAGTATTATGGCTAAATATATTTTTTTCAATGTTTTTTTTTACTCGTTTGCGCCAGTTTTCGCGCAGCTATTATGAGACAGACATACATACAAACATATATACATGTTCTCCGACTGCATAATATTATATTTTTTTCGTCATTTTGTTTCCATCTTTTCAGTTCGCTTTTAACGCAGTTAGGTTTTTTTTATTTTGGTACATATATTTTTTTAAATGCCGAGTGGCAATGTTGTTACTTGCAGGTATCGATTTAACTACGACTTGAAACACTTTCTTTATCGCTCTTCTTTACTGACGTTATCAACAAACAAAGTGATTATTTTGCATATAATATGGCACATATTAATATTTATCTAAACGACGTTATGAAGAAGATTTTAAATTATTTAGTAGAATTTTGAAAAAAGTGGTTGGTTTAAAAATCTTGTATTATTTCATAAAATTGTATGATTACTTTACTTTTTTTTTTTTGTATTCGTTGTGCTTTGTGATTTTTGATATACGCGTTTTGTTATTCATTGTTGAATTTGTTTATAATTTTATTTGATGTAAATATTAAAATTTATTGTAAAAAAATAGATCTTTATTATATATTAAGTAATGTTTCATATAAAATTCGTAATATCGCATTTATTTTTCAACTGACACAATTATTAAATTTATAATATTTAAAAATAATGGCATTTACATTGAAAAGAAATTATAAAAAATTTAGAATACATCAAAAAATATTGTTTTCGAAAGAACTGTACAGAAAAATATGGTCTTTGCGTTATACGTTATCTAGAATTGTCCTCTCGAATTATAATTTGATCTCTCAAATCTGTACAGTCATGAAAATGGTTACCCATCATCGACCAAAAAAGTACTAGATACACAATCAGCGACAAAAAATGTGCACTCATTTTAAACATTTGAGCGCTCTTTTAATTTTTTTTATGTGAAAACAACTTATAAGCATTGCACTTAAGGTTCAATTTACATTGTTGTATATTTATTTCAACTAGAATAATTACCTAAACACAATCGGTAAGAACTTTTGCATGGAATTGTGTATCTAGTATTTTTTTGATCGATGTTACCCATATAATATGTAATCTTACGTAAAATGAGGTTTTTTATGGACGTATTACATCCAATATTAAACAAGTTTCGTGAGTTAATGCAAATTGTACTTAAGGTCGTTAGAGGGGTTATACTTCATTTTGTACATACTAATATTTATAATGTACAAGAAATAAGTAGACACAGGTGGTGCCACTAGCATGCGTTGTCGAAAACTTTCTGACGACACGTTTGGCTTAGTTTGTAATGACCCTACTTGCTGTGCCAGCGGTCACGGGTTCAAGTCCCGCTGGGGGCATTCATTTGGGTGATGAGCACGAATGTTTGTACTCCAGTCATGGATGTTTATATTTATAATACAAATTAACAAACAACAATCTGGTATTCATAACACAAGCCTCGTAGGTTACCATGGAACTAGGTGGTGCTGTTAGTTAATGTTTGTAATATTTATATTTATTAATTTCTATAAATTTTCTTTCATGGTATTAGGAGTTGCACGTCTGTACAGGCGCCCATGACTAGAATAATCAAACTAACTCTTACAATAATTTTCAGATTTTAATTGATCCTTTATGGCATAATGATACCATTTTTTTATAAATGAGAGGCGCACAATGAAACTGGTATATGGATAAAATATATTTGGAGGTAAAAATTTAAAAACGATGATAATATAGTGTTTTTATTCAAATAGTTTTCACATTTTATATGGTTTTCTTTTGATTTTTCATTTCCATACATAGATTTACTGTGCGCCACAACATGAAGATAAATATTATAACAACGACAGATGGGTAATGCCGTTGGGTAATGTTCGAACTCATTTTCTTTTCATCATATATATAACTTTATAGAAGACATTTCTAAATATCCTTCTTGTGCAAAATTTAATGCTGTTAAAGTCTGAGTCACTCACCTTGAGTGTACGTACATATTTAATATTTTTTTCAATAGATATGCTTTTGGCGCCACCACCGAAAAAAATCATAACGACACAATGGTAACGCTAGTTAGAACTTAGATTTGAATATTTTTACACTCACATATAGCAGTTTATTAAAGTTATTAGAAATTATATATCAATTATTATCCTTACATAATAACAAGTAAGTTTTCTGTACATAGTGACACGGCGCAGTAAATGCTGCGTTATTTTGTTTTTTTTAATCACGAATTATTTAGATATGATATGACTGATTTTTCCTTAAGAATATGAGACTGAATGAAGAATGTGTGTGGGTTAATTTCATATTTAATAATCAGAAAGGCAAAGACAATATTTAAATTATATGAAGAAAACATCAGGTTTGTTTCCCCTTTAAGATAATTCAATGGGAGTTATTCTATCATTAACTTAATATAAGTACTTCATAAGTCAGTCATTCGAGTTAACTGACAGACAGATATGTATATATATTTTAATAAATTGTAATGCGCGTAGCGTGCTTTAGTTGCTTAGTTATTATTTAAACGTTTTCAAGGTATACTTTAGGTGAAAAGCAAATTTATTCACAGCACAAAGAAACCATAACGAAATGTAAATTATTTTTATACACTCTTATTATTAAGTTCACAAAATTATCAATAACATTAATTTTCTATTGGAATTTGAATGATGTATCAATAGGTCGGATGTAAAGTCAAAAGTGTTATAAGTAACTGCAATGCAGTGAGAGACAATGCATATTATATATAGTCTATATTTTATTTTTTTAATCTGTGATTGATGAATGTCAAACTCCTGTATAATATTTTATATGTAATAATCGTATATTGCTATCGTATCGCTCATACTCAAACGTTTCAGGGAGTAAGTGAGACAACATATGAAAAATGCTTCTATCTCTTTTATTACTAGAATGGTTACAGTTCACCAACCATGAAACCATTCAGTATGAAATAATTTCTTTTTTGTGACAGACAGACAATGTCTGCACTATCACAGCCCTACTAGCAATATGTAAAACTTAGATATATATGTAGTTACATAATGTAATCACCAAAATATAAAGATGGATATTAACTTGTATGTGTCAAAGGTATAAATGTTTCTCTCTAGACAAATCATGTCCAAGTTATTATTTTGATGATTAAGAAAAATTAAAATATGCACTGCTTTTCCTGTGTTGTCACACAGAGCCTTACTTGTAATTTATTGGTAGAAACTTAAAATATTAATTTATTGTAAATAAGGATCATTATTGTACTTAAAAGTTGGGGGTTGATGGATGCAATTAATTTAATATAAGAATTCTAATTCTCTTCTTGATATAATATGTAAAAAATCTCTACTTTTTCGAAGATAAAAATAGTAAGCTTCATGATATTTTTTTGTATATAAAAGCTTTTGAATGTTTTATCTCCGTCAATCCTCATTAGCTTGTTGTAGCGAGCTAGTTAAAGCATTTGTAGAATTAAATGGAAAATTATCTGTAGTATTAAGGTAAGCGATCAGTAGTTTCTTTAGGTTATCACTCGTCTATGGTATATATTTTGTGGATTGTCATTGTTTTTCATGTAAAAATAGGCACAAATTTGTTAAATTTTAACAATATTGTTAAAGACTATAACATTCATATGACATTTTAACAAATCAATGATTAATTGCTAATATAAATAAAATTTATCATATTTGTGTCTTATATGAAAGCAGACTTGTAAATATGAAGAGAAAAATTTATTTTTGTTATCAATTGTACTTCTTGTTTATTTTGTGTTGATTCATACTTTGCTTTCAGTTTATAATAAAATAATAAAGATTTTTCAAATAATATCTATTGTTCATTTTATTTCCTACCAGAATTGTTAAACAACATATATAAACAGCTAAGTGATATAATTAAAAGAAAACTATTTCACACTTATTTATTTACAAATGAAATGTCTCTAACAATAAATTTAATAATTTAATATTTGATTTTACCATACTCTCTTTAGGCCTGCAGTACAGTCAAACAATAAGGGGTTCTTGAACTCGCCCCTCATATCCAACATATAATGCATTAAAGTATTCTTAACTTTTACTGGTAACTGAACTCTTGCCGTCTTCCTGTTTTCCTTACAACATACAAATTCAATTGGAACTTTCATAATTCTATTATTGCTAAATGGTGCATATGTAACAAATGTTAAATGTTTTCCACCTTTGTTTAAAATCAAGTATCGCACTGACTTTAATGTATACATCCATATCATTGCTAATGATCCAGTACCTTTAAAATAATTAGGATGAGAATAATGGATATAGTAGAAGAGACAAAAATATAGCGAAAAATTGTTTTAAAAGCCATAATGAGAAAATTAAGAAAAAATATTCTGGAGCAATAAAAAAAATCGATTTAATAGTAGTAACAAAAAATAATGAAGTAGATGGTTTATTAACATATTATTAGTAAATAAAATAGTTCATTCAATTGTTAAATGTATAATAATTATACTGCTAATTACTATATGTAAATAATAAATAAACATTTACCAATGATTATTGATAATGTTCCTAAGGTATTCCTATATTTGTTTTGCCCCAAATTAATTTTTCTAAACCAAGGAGTATCGTCAGTTATCTTTGATTCATCTACAGGGGCATCTCTTAAATTTTGCAAAGCAAAAAGACCCAAATATGTCCAAAACATGTACTGAACAACGGCAAAAATGTTCATATACATGTAAAATTTAGGGTTTTCATACTTAAATAGTATAACATCTTTGGCTACATTCGTATTCACATCATGAATAGTTTTAGTTATAACTGATTGTGAACTCTGCTTAGTACTAATTTTTATTGGACTAACAGCTTTGTTTAAAGGATAACGAAATGTAGCAGCTCTTTTTAACACAAAAGATGCATAAGACAATAAAGACATTATAGTACTTCTAATAGCCACAAAAATAGTGAAAACATAACCTCAAGGCTCAACAATTATTAGTAACCTGTGATGTCAATGTCAATTGTCAATTAGACATTAAATAGGCAAAGTTCTCACTATAATTTTTATTACAAAGAATAGGGAAGAATTGTGCCTTTTTCTCCCGGCAGACGACGCGATCATTATAGCCCTCAGTATATTGTAAAGCTTTATAGCATGGATGGTTTTCTTTTCATTTTGTTTAAAATTTAATAGCTTATACTTTAATATATTAAATTACATATTAATTACAGAATTTCATACAAACTTTCATCCTCCGTTTTAACCCCTTATGGGATTGAATTTCGAAAAATGCTAAAACACGTATTTATTTAATCGTATTGAAGAGCATTTCTTTGCCCATATAAACTCTATTCCCCCCTTTTATCGAGGATAAATTTCGAAAAAAATCAAATAAATATATTTATTATTTTTTATCTTAAAGCTAAATACCACTTTCTGTGTATTTCAGATTAAGAATGAAAGAATTTCATATAATCTCTAATCTCTTATTTTACCCACTTAGGAGATGAATTTCGAAAAATCCTTTCTTATTAGATGCCTGCACTTTATAAGGAAAAAGTTCTCCAAATTTCACGTTTCTATGACCATTGACCAGCAGCTTAGCTGTGTGGTGATCCATCAGTCAGTCAGGACTACTGCAGAATCCACCTCTCTTTCTCAATTCTTCCTTCAACTGGTCTAACATCCAGCTCCAGGTACAATACATTGCATAGGTAAGATGCGAACACAATAGAAGCAAAAAAAACAGTTATACAAGAGATATCATAATAAAGTGCTTAACTTCAGACTGAATGTAAATAGGCGATACGTGTGGCGCCCTTCTTTCAAGAAATTTTCTCCAGTAATGTCTATTGTTTTTAATGGTAAAACATAAGATTGGACCCTATACATATTTTTATAACTTTAAATATTTCTTTAACTTCAATCTTAATCAATCAGGGTTACTGATAAAGGCCCAGCTCAAGATTAATTTACATTTTTATTCATTACTTTAGATAGATATGTTTTGGTGAAAAACATGAAAAAGTCGATTATTATTAAATTGTTTATTTATTACTTCAGGTATTATAATATATTTTTGTAACAATCTTTCATTTTAAAATTGCATCATTTAAATATTTGATGTGAAACTTCTCATTGTAATTCAAAAAATATTCTAGAATATCATTGTCTTGTCATCAATTCAGAGACAATAAAAATTAAAAAGTAAGTTAAAAGTTTATAGTCTACGCATATTCACGGCGTCTTTGTCAAGTTCGTTATTTCGTCGCGAATGTGCTAATTGTAAATTACAACAATAAAATGTTGTTTTACAAAAGCCAATAGCATTAAATCCTGTATTGTCTTGTTTTCAAGACAATTCGTGTATAGCGTTGATCGCGCACGATTTAAAAGCACGACACACAAGATGGCTGATATAAAGGTAAGCGGTCTGATCTTGGCGGCATTTTGATTGCTAACGGTCAAAATTAAGATTGTTTATAATTTTATCCATTTGTTATTATTTGCAAAAATTAATATTTTTTTTAAAATGTCTTGGATATGAATGAAACGGTAATCATACCCGAGAAATAAAATCATTTGTATGTACTTACCTACTTCAATTTATATTAATATGTTAAAATAATACAATACTATGATCCCGTTGTACCTATAATTTTATTTTGGTATGATGTATATTGTTTTGTATTTATTAATAAATATCTTATTAATTTATGGACATTGAAAATGAACCTCTGCTTTTTAAACTACCTACAACTGAAAAAATAATTAGTCGTTATAATTTAAATATTTGAAACTAAAATTGTGAAAGGGCTTTTAATGCTTTTGGCTCGATAAATATATTAAAGAAAATCAGTATTTGAAGGTAATATTAAATCATGCAGTTAGCAATCATGTAATTATGTACATTTTAATTTATAATTCATATACCTATGAACAAACTTCTGGATCTTATGTTGTCATATAGCCTTATAGGGGAATGTTAAATTGCATTTTGCTGTCAATAGCAGCTTTTAGCTATGTGTTCAAATAGAAATATATTATAAACTTAACAACTTCACTTCGCTCGGTCATCTCTAGGTACATTTGAATTTTTTTGAGCAGAATCCTAATTCTTTTTCTAAAATAAAAGTTGCCTAAGTTACTCCTTATTACATCACTTATCTGCCAGCGAAAGTCCCATCAAAATCAGTAGCCATTTGAAGATTAGTTGAAACAAACCATAACAAAAGTTAAAAAAATGTGTATTTCGTAGTACCATATATAATTTCATATACATTTAGTAAGAAGCTGTTATTTTGACATTACAAACAGACTCTTCAATTTTATTTATCTGTATAGAATATTTAAATATTATTTTAATAATATTTTTATAATATTGCTTTAAATCATAATGATACCATTTGTTTTGTGGTAAATGACTATACTTCCTACTAATAACATTAGGAATTATTCCAACTAAGGAATGTTAAAATCAATACATTTAATCTTTTTTTTTTTATTTTAGAAGTGAAAAATGGATAATAGGCTAATTTTTTTTTCAAAATATACCTTGTCTTTTGAAATTAAATTAAAATATATTTAATTATTCTGTTACCAATAATATTATTTAAATAACTTAATTATAAATTTTATAGTCAAATGCAAAAAAAATGAGTAATGGTACTCAAAATGGTACTGCTGAAGCTCCTACCAAGGGCCAAAAAGGTACCATTGAGAAGATATATCAAAAGAAATCCCAGCTTGAGCATATCCTCTTGCGTCCAGACACATATATTGGGTCCGTTGAACGGGCAACAGAGACTATGTGGGTGTATGACAAATCTAAGGAGTGCATGGTGCAGCGGGAACTCACTTATGTACCAGGTAATTGTATATTTGTTATATATAAAATATGATACTATTGGTTTTATGGTAATTTTTTATTTTTTAATGTACTAATGTAAAATATTTATGAACTAATGCATTTTTTTCAACTTTCAGGTTTATATAAAATATATGACGAAATTTTAGTAAATGCAGCTGATAATAAGCAAAGAGATCCTAAAATGGATGTAATAAGAATTGAAATAAATCAAGAACAAAATACTATATCAGTATATAATAATGGATGTGGAATACCAGTTGTAATGCACAAGGAAGAAAAAATGTATGTGCCAACTATGATTTTTGGACATTTATTGACATCGTCAAATTATAATGACGAAGAGGAGAAAGTTACCGGTGGAAGGAATGGTTACGGTGCAAAATTGTGTAATATTTTCTCGACAAAATTTACTGTAGAAACTGCATCTAAACAGTATAAGAAACATTTTAAGCAGACTTGGGGTGCAAACATGACGAAGGCATCAGAGCCTAAAGTGAAAGAATCTGGGAAAGATGATGACTTTACAAAAGTGACTTTTAGCCCTGATTTGGCTAAATTTAAAATGGATAAATTAGAAGATGATATAGTAGCGCTAATGTCGCGCAGGGCGTATGACGTAGCCGCATCTTCAAATGGTGTAAAAGTTTATTTGAATGGAGAAAGACTAAAAATAAACAAATTCAAAGATTACATAGATTTGTATATTAAAGGTAAAGAGGATGAGAATGGTCAGCCTTTGAAGGTTGTATATGAAAAAGTCAATGATCGTTGGGAGGTAGCTCTTACACTCTCCGATCGGGGTTTCCAACAAGTATCATTTGTTAACTCTATTGCTACCACTAAAGGGGGCAAACATGTTGACACTGTAGCGGATAGTGTCGTTAAGAACGTTCTTGAAGTTTTAAAGAAGAAAAACAAGGGTGGTGTAAACATAAAACCTTTTCAAGTCAAAAATCACATGTGGATTTTCATTAACTGTCTCATTGTAAACCCAACCTTTGATTCGCAAACTAAAGAAAATATGACTCTCCAAGCAAAGAGTTTTGGTTCTAAGTGTAATTTCTCTGAGAAATTTGTAAATGCAGTATCAAAATCGGGTTTAGTCGAATCAGTATTAACTTGGGCTAAATTTAAGGCTCAAACTGAACTCGTAAAGGCGTCTGGTAAGAAACAGAGTAAATTAAAGGGTATACCGAAGTTAGAAGACGCTAACGATGCTGGAACCAAAAATGCACATCTTTGTACTTTGATTCTCACTGAGGGAGACTCGGCAAAGACATTGGCTGTGTCAGGACTCAGTGTAGTAGGCAGAGATCACTATGGTGTATTTCCATTGAAGGGTAAACCTCTCAATGTAAGGGACGCTTCCCATAAACAAGTCTTGGAAAATGTTGAAATCAACAACTTAATCAAAATTATTGGATTACAATACAAAAAGAAATACAACTCTGTTGACGACCTCAAATCGTTACGATACGGCAAAGTTATGATAATGGCTGATCAGGATCAAGATGGCTCCCACATAAAGGGACTTATAATTAATTTCATACATCACAATTGGCCAGAACTGCTAAAATTGCCATTTTTAGAAGAATTTATTACACCTATCGTTAAAGCAACGAAAAAAGATAAAGAAATATCGTTTTATTCGTTACCAGAGTTTGAAGAGTGGAAGCGTGAAACAGAGAATAACCACACCTACAATATAAAGTACTACAAAGGTTTGGGTACCTCCACTTCAAAGGAGGCTAAAGAATATTTTCAGAACATGGACAGGCACAGAATCCGTTTCCGTTACAGCGGTGCAACGGATGATCATCATATAGAACTGGCTTTCTCAAAGAAAGGTGCAGATCAACGGAAGGAGTGGTTAACAAATCACATGGACGAAGTTAAACGGAGAAAGGAGATTGGTCTACCTGAAAGATATTTGTACACAAAAGATACTAAAGCAGTTTCCTATTCGGATTTTGTTAATCTGGAGCTGGTTCTCTTCTCCAATGGTGACAATGTTAGGTAAGATTTTTATTTTATGATAATTTATTTTCTTATTTCACCAATTATGAGACAATTTTCCTCTTTTGTCATTTCTTTTATATATTAATTACTAGCGACTCACCCTCGCTTCGCTTGGTTGCGTCCCTTTCTGCCTAACAGGTTATAACTTTATCTGTGTATTAAACTTCATCCAAATCTGTTCAGCCGTTTCATGTAGCGACATAGAAACTTTTTACATAGTACTTTCCTAGGTTTATGCGAAAATTTGACATTTTAAATAAAACTGACGACATTTCAAATTCTTTACAACAATCATGGTCACTGGAGAGACTTAAGGTTTTTGACGTCTCAACTGTCTCTCACTGTCTGTAACAAGTATATAATGAACCTTTGAAACTTCTAAGACTTTAATCTGTCCCGTGACCATGATTGATGTTAAAGTGTAAAGTATTTGAAACGTCAGGAACCAAAAATCTAAATAAATCCACGAAAAAATCCGAAAAGATTTTTTTTGTATGTTATAAATATACTATTTTTTTTTCAGATCAATACCTTCAATGATAGATGGCTTGAAACCCGGTCAGCGTAAAGTAATCTTTACCTGCATAAAGCGTAATGATAAAAGAGAAGTCAAAGTGGCGCAGCTGGCTGGTTCAGTTGCTGAACATTCTGCATATCATCACGGCAAGTACCCTTTTCATATTATTTTATAATTGATGTGAAACATCTAATGCGGCGGGTCAAAATGGCTGCCGGCTAGTGCCTCATAGAATCTGGTCCCCCTCGGCTCCTCGATTCCCTCCTCTCTCACTGTTTTGAACTCGTATTGTAATTTTTAGTTTCGGTATTAAATTAAGATGTATTTTTTTTTTTTTTATTTTAATAAAATCTGAATATTTTGTTTATAATTGTCATATTTATTGCCTTTAAAAATCATTCTGTGTGCATATTTTCTACATAAATTATTTTTGATCTTTCACATCTGCCAGGAGGCTTAGTTGTTTTTTTTTTATTAAACCTACTTATTGGCTGGGTCCTTGGACTGGTGGAATGTCTTCATAGTGCTTATTTGTCCAAACTGCAATATGTCCACATCAAAAGAGTTTTTAGAACAGAGTTATTGACTTTTATGCTTCTACTACTTTTATAGGTAACAAATATACATTTTACTTTAATAAAGCCGAAAATATGTATTTTATTTAAATACATATGTATATAAATCTTAGAAATAAAGTTTTGTGTTTGAAGTAGAGTAGTAAACATTGTGTAAAGTACAACAAGTATTCGTAATTTGAACAAATAAGCACTGAGCTGAGGGATAATGTATATATTTATGTATGTGTATTGTTTTCTGTAAAAACTTTTTCGGTAACTGCCTGTATCCTGTTTGGAAAGTTGGTTTTATATCTCTTTGCTTCGATGTACACGTCACTTCGATCTCTTACTTTGAGAGAGATGGTATAGAGGTTATATGTTATTATGGCGCCTTTAGATTATTGTAGGGTTTGTTAAACTAAATTATGATTTTAAATGCTAATGCTTAAAATTAATTTATATATAACTTTGACTAATTTATTTTGCATTATTCTACTTAATGTAGATTAAAAAAAATACAAATAAAGGGATCATAGTTTAAAAAATAATTTAGTTTGTTAATGTCTTTATGTTACGCACCATTGAGGGGTGCCAGTACTGATGTACTGGATACCTTTGATGCGGTGCAACACTACTGATTATTCGAATTGTAACGCTATTTGCTTCTTAATTAGCGTTTATTTCGACGATCTACATTTCTAGCCATATCTACAAAACTGAATTCATTAAAAAAATATATAAATTGGTTCATAGTTAAAAAAAATACTATAAAATCCTTAAAGTCCAACTTACAGAATAATATCTACATTAAAAAAAATATTCTTTTAATGACTACCCTCGCTTTCTTTTGTATTTGTAATATTATATGAGTAGCCACACCTTTTGTCAAAATTTGTTATAAACTGTAAACGTATGTGTTACTTAAGGTATACAAGGGTTTTAACTGTGTACTAAATTTTCTACTGTTTCACTAGAAAATGTAACAAAAAAAACCACACATGCATACATACAAAAAGTTTTAACACTATTTTCAACTCTACAGGTGAACAGTCCCTAGCGATGACTATAGTCAATCTCGCACAGAACTATGTGGGTTCAAACAACATCAATCTATTGGAACCCCGCGGTCAATTTGGTACCAGACTGTGCGGTGGTAAAGACGCGGCCAGTCCCCGTTATATATTCACCCTCATGTCACCCCTAACTAGGCTGGTGTTTCATCCCCATGATGATCCATTGCTTGTGGTAAGTTTCAAGATATATATAATATTTACTTAATTAGTATGTTTTTAGTTTTCTGTCTGTGATAAAAATTACTGCTTCAAAGTAGCATAATGTGTGTTCACTGTTTTTCGAGCTAAGTGTTGTTTTCAACAAAAAAGAAAAAAAAACTATGAAGAAATACTTAATTGTCCAAATTTTATTTATATTTTTAATATTATTCATAAAATACTTGTCTTCTCCAGCACGAATTTGAAGACAACCAGAAGATTGAACCTGTCCACTACATCCCAATCTTGCCCATGGTGCTAGTGAATGGAGCAGAGGGCATCGGCACCGGCTGGTCCACTAAGATACCTAATTACAATCCTAGGGATATTGTTGCTAATATACGGTAAGATTTGTTTTTATTAAGATTTTAAATATACCTAGTTCAAATTAAAAAAAAAGTGTGTATTTATTTTGTAAAGCGTTATTTCTATTGGAAATTAATCTGCATTTATCTTTAACTAGCTGAGCTCCGCGGTTTGACCTGCGCTAAATTTGTTTGATTCAAAATATCAGTTTTACAATAATGTATGGGAGTTGCCCCATTCGTTGGCATTTATGATTAGTGCTCCCTTGGGTAGTAGCATGATGATATATGTATAGCTTATAGCCTTTCTCAATAAACGGGCTATCTAATACAAAAAGAATTTTTCCAATCGGATAAGTAGTTCCAGAGATTAGCACGTAAAAACAAATAAACAACCTCCTTATAATTAGTATATAAGTATTGTTAAATACCTCATGCAAAGGTTAATGAAGTATTACCATTTTGTGTTGATATTTCACAGGCGCATGCTGGATGGTGAGGAACCAGTACCTATGCACCCCTGGTACAAGAACTTCCGCGGCACCATCGAGGGCTTCAGCGATAAATACGTCATTTCCGGAGAGGCCGCCATCTTGCCCAACGAGAAGATCGAGATCACGGAACTTCCGGTCGGCACCTGGACGCAGAACTACAAGGAGAATGTTCTGGAGCCCATGCTAGGAACCGACAAAGTCAAGCCGTTGATATCGGAATATAGAGTAAGTTTTGTTATTAAAAAAAAAATCATATTTGTATTTACTGCAGCAGTAAATACATACTGCTTTCAGATTTCCTTATAAAACAAAAAAAAAAATGTATTTATTATTATCGATAACATAAAGTTTATTGTTTTTTTAGTTGTGCTAATCGACGACGTGATTTTTATCTATCGATAATAATATATAATATAAATCTTTCTAAGAGAAATAACTCCGTAATACTTGGTCTTCATATTACTCTATTTGGAAACAAGTTGGCATGACTTTTAGACATCTTCAACAGTCATTACCATGTTTCAGCCAATTAACACAGCCTTAATGAATTAACCATCCTTATGAATCACGATACGTACACCGTCTATTGGTGAAAACCGTATGAAAATCCGTTCTGTAGATTTTGAGTTTATCGCGTTCAGACAGACAGACAGATGCGGCAGGGGACTTGTTTTTTAATATGTAATTTTAGTTTTTTTATGATGTATTTAACTAATCCATAACATCATTGTTTAGGAATATAACACGGATACTACAGTAAGATTCGTAGTGTCTCTGTTGCCGGGCAAATTGGCTGAAGTTGAAGCGGAGGGCATCCACAAAGTGTTCAAACTTCAGACAACCATTTCTATGACGTGTATGAACGCGTTTGACCACAATAACTGCTTGAAGAAGTAAGTAATATCAAATAATTATACAAAAATGATCTGTATTGTGTTTTTGAAGTTATTCTTTTGGCACGCTTGGAAAAAAATATGAGAGTAAAATTTTTACAGTGCAGTGACAGCCAAAAAGCGACATGATGAAGTTAGCTGCATTCTTTTAACAAATTAGAGTTGTGATATACGGCATGACATCATTAGCTATTTTTTTTTGTTACGCCAAAGAAGTATAACTTACGTGTGTATATTATTAATAATAATTATAATAGCTATTGATGGATAGGCAATCTTGGTGCTTTGTGATATTTGGTTGTAAGCTGTAGGTTGCGAGTTCGATTTCCGGATGATAAAAAATTTCTATTGATCATACAGTAATAAATAATAATTAATGTAATATTATGTTTTCTTTTTTTATATTATCTTTACTAATTAGGTTCGACAAAGTAGAAGAAATTCTTCGTGACTTCTACGATGTGAGGCTTAAATATTACTCTAAACGTAAGGAGTTCCTCGAGGGACAGTTGCAAGCCGAAGCAGACAAACTGACAAACCAAGCGAGGTTTATTGTGGAGAAATGCGACAAGGGGCTTGTGGTTGAGAACAAGAAGAGAAAGGCATTGGTCGATGAACTCATCAAGAGAGGTGAGCTACTTCCATAATATTTAAACATTTCAATATGTATTTTAGAACTTTTTGATATGATATACGAAATTGATTTGATATCACTGAGGGAAATATAATCAAACTTAGGTATATAATTTTTAACATGAAATTGTTAACATTTATTAATATTACTAGCGACTCACCCTTGCTTCGCTTGGGTCGTCCCTAGGTACTTTTTTTTTAGCAGAACCCTAATTCTTTTACTGAAATAAAATTAGTTTAAGATACTTCTTATAACATTAATTACTTGCCACTGAAAGTCCCGTCAAAATCGGCCGAGCCGTTTCGGAGATTGGCCGGAACAAATAGACAAAAATTTAAAAAAATGTTCTTATGAATATAATTCCATATGCATTTAGTAAAAAGCGGTTATTTTGACATTACAAACAGACAATTCAATTTAATTTATCTGTATAGATTATTGCTGTTGTAAATATTTTACTTAAACAATCTATGTGTACACCAGGCTATGCCCCTGACCCCATTGCGGACTGGAAAAAGCGAGCCACTAAGATGCAAGGGCTCACTGCCCTCGAAGAGGAAGAAGAACCAGTAGAGTCTGAAGATGAACCAGAACCGGAAGAGACTAAGGGGAAACCTGCTGATCCCGGTAAGATATAATATGTTTGGTTCCTATTTTCATAAAATTTTGACAATGTCCTATTAGAGGAAGTTTAGTAGTAGTTCCTTTGCTCTATTTGGGAAGTGCCCTAGAAGAGACAATATTTTTGAGATTTAGAGATGTAATTCTCAAATATCATTATAGCACTATCTATCTATATATCTAGTTATCATAAAATTTCATCTATGTATTGTTGTTGAGGTATAGGTAACGTACTCCCTTGGAAAACCGAGAAGCGGGTTCAAATCCCGGGACTCGCGATATTTTCATGTGTAAATCATTTCCAATATGATTACCACTCTCCTTACGGTAACGGAAAATATCGTGAGGAAATCTGCATGTCTGAGAGAACCAAGCTAGTTTTCGAATGATATGCTCAGGCCGCAAGCGCTTGGCCAGCGTGGTGGACTATATCATGATCCTTCTTGTATTGAAAGGATGCTTGTACCCAGCAGAGGGACATTAAAAATGGCTGAATATTTTTTTTGTTTTATAGAAAAAGCCTTCCAAAATCTAAAAGAAGTGAAGAAGTTCAACTACCTCTTGGGCATGTCCATGTGGATGCTCACGAAGGAGAAGAAAGATGAACTGCTCAAGCAGAGAGATCAGAAGTTGTCCGAGCTGACCATATTAAAGTAATTACATATTATTTATATTATAATGTTGTTTTTAGTTTATTTTTGGTTAAGTTTATTGAATTTGGTAAGAATATCTTTATTGGATGTGTTTATTTATCTAAACAGATAAATAAAATTGAAGTGTCTGTTTGTAATGTCAAAATAACAGGTTTTTACTACATTTTTGTCTGTTTGTTTGTTCCGGTTAATCTCGGAAATGGCTGAACTGATTTTGACTAGACTTTCAATGGCAGATAGTGATATTATAAGGAGTAACTTAGGCTACTTTTATTTTAGAAAAAGAATTAGGGTTTTGCTGAAAATAATTAAAACATACATAGGGACGCAACCGCGCCAAGTAAGGGTAAGTCGGTAGTTGTAAATAAAAAAGAAATTATATTATTATTTAAATTGCTATAAAAACCCAACATTTCTTACACCTGAATTTTACTTGATTTCTGTATGTTTTAAACAATGAAGTATAGAAGACCTGTAATATATAAAATAGTAGTTATGTTATTAGTTTCATTTGTACAAAAATGTTTCTATTTTACATTTTAGGGCGAAAACACCATCAATGCTATGGCGTGAAGATTTAGACACGTTCTTGATCCGCCTCGAGGATCTGGAAGAGAAGGAGAGACAAGAAGAGTCCAGCAGTAACAAGAAAACTTCCAAAGCTGTGGTATTTATATATTTTATTTTTAAACTGGTTATTTAACTGTAAGTTTATAATTAATTTTTTTAATTAAAAAATAAATATTCAATTAATTGTATTATTATTTTTTTAATTTTTATGCTCAAAGATGGAAAGGATGAAGGTAACATACAATTTTTTCAAGGTTTTTTTACATTGATTTGTATTTTTTAATAATAATAAAAACAACAAAGTATAATATGTAATATTTTTACATTCTATCAACTTTATTAAAATATTTTATTTATTATTATTATTGTCATGTTACAGGGCAAGAACCAAAAGAACCGCAAGTCCATATTGGATATAGGCCCCTCGGACAATGGTCGGAGAGTGGAACCCAAGATTTCAGAAGAACTCATCAAGAGGATACAGGCGGCTGAGAAGGCTAAGATCAAGAAAGAAGTTAAGAAAGAATATGACCCTGTAAGATACATGTTTTATGATTTATTTTATAGTATAAGAGGTATGATGATGATGAGAATGGATCAATAAAGTATCTTGTTAGTTATTAGGTTTACTTTTTATGTAAATATGTTTGGATAGAATAGAATCTTTATTGACACAATTGTTTGTTGTTACATAAGCCTGCTGAAGCCTCTGACTCCCAAACTAGAATAAACCTGTATGTCAGGAGTCAGAATGTATTTAATGTTTTTAAGTATGTGAGAAGAGATAAATGGTTAAATATGGCCTTTCCCAAAGGCAAATATACAAAAAAAAAAAAATAATAACAGAAGATACTGTGTTGGATACAAAATAAAGCTAAATAAGTATAATAATAATAATAATAGGTATATGTTACTGAAAGTTATAAAGGAAACATTGAAAACTTACAATTTTTTGTCATTCAGGATGATCCAACTGGTGTCAGTCCGGCCAGTGGTGAAAAGAAACAGCCAAAAGCGCGCGTAAAGAAAGAGAAACCGGAAAAGCCGGAGAAAGCCGATAAGGCGGAGAAATCGGATGGTTTGAAACAAACCAAGCTCTCTTTCAAGAAAGAACCTAAGAAGGTACTATTTCTTTTATATATTTTTGTTTTATATAGAATACATATCATACTAGCGACTCACCCTCGCTTCGCTCGGGTTATGTACATTTTACCGGTTAGTATGGAATGTGAAAAACAAAAACAAATTTATCCCACGGGAACCTACATTTTTCCGGGTTAAAAAGTAAACTATGTACTTTTCCAGACTAATCTATCACTGCCAAATCTCATCAGTTTTGGTTAATGATTAATAATTAATATTCGTTTTGATTAAGTAACGAATATCTATCCATCCAAACTCTCGCATTTATAATATTTATTACATTATGGGATTAAATATTAGTTACACTGATAGTATAAATATAAAGGGTTTTCATACTTTTTCACACTGTTCTTATTTATTTGAGTAAATTATTAATGGATGTTTATATCTTTATATATAAAAACCCACAAGTATAAAATATATACATATGTCTGACTGCATATATTCCTTCGTCCATTTTTCAGCATATCAGTTTTTTCGCATTTATTTTTTATTTTTATATTTTTTTTATTTACAGCTCTCATTAACATAAGTAATCTATACATATAATAAAATTGTAACTAAGCCGAATATGTACATTAAATATTTTTTGGAAAATCTTATTGTAATAGACATTATTATCGATACGGAGGCCGAATCTATAGTTTTTAGAATTTTTGTCTGTCTGTCTGTTACCGCATCACAGAAAAACCACTGGACAGATTTTGATGAAATTTGGTATGGTGATAGCTGGTTATAGCTGGTTATCCGGATCAACATATAGGATACGTCTTTTTACCGCGATTTTTCTGAGAAAAATTACAAAAACTACAATGTAAGATTATAGTAATATGCAAAACCTAAGAATTAAGAATTTGGTTTTTGTTCATCTGAACGCGAGCAGAGCCGCGGGCAATGCTAGTGTTATATATAATATAATATTGTCTCTCTATATACAGACACAAAAGAAGATGACATTCAGCGGCAGCAGTTCGGGGGAGATGTCGGGCTCCGATGTGGAAATGGTAGAGCCGCCCGCGCCCCGCGAGAGACAGACCACAAGACGGGCTGCTACTAAGGTTATTGTCATGATCACCTGATGTTTGACTCAGTGTGTAGTGACTTTACTTGCTGCGCCAGCGGTTGCGGGTTCCAGTCCCGCTGGGGGCATTCATTTGTGTGATGAGCACGAATGTTTTCTATTATAGCCATGGGTGCTTATATGTATAATACATATGTATTTAAAGTTGTTTATGTGAATTCAGTTAAAGTTATTGACTTTGTGATAACCATTTATATTGAAGTAAACAATTGCTCTCTGCGGTAAAAGCTCTGATTACTGAAAAAAAATCTCTCCTTAATTAGTTTAATTATTAAAATAAGAGAGTTGTAAGTTTGTATGTAGGTGCTAACATCTACATACGAACTTTACCTCTTTCTAATATTAGTGTAGACCCTAATTTTTCGTAATTATTCAAATTTCATAGGTATGTTTTATTTCTTTAAGCGGAACCCTAATTCTTTTTCTAAAATAAAAGTATGTAGTAGTATAGTAGTAAGTACTTATAATATCAGCTCTCTGCCAGTGAAAGTCCCGTCAAAATCGATCTATCCGTTTCAGATATTAGCCTGAACAAATAGACAGACAAAATGTTAAAAAGTACTTTATATTCATTCCATATTTGCATTTAGTAAAAAGCTATTACATATTTTGACATTACAAACAGACACTTCAATTTGATTTATCTGTATAGATTAATTAATAAATACATTCAATAAACAAATTCTCACTAGACATATGTATAAAGTTAGACATTTTAATTTGATTATGAGATTCCAAAAACAGGTGCAAAAATACAAGGATGGTTCGGAGGATTCGGACTCTGGCTCGGAAGTGGAGTTGCACGATAACAAGCTGGGATCAGACAGTGAAGCTCCTCGGGCCATGTCCCTCAGTGACGATGATGACTTCAATGTGAAGAAGCATGGTGATAAGAAACCGGCTGAGATGGACTCGGGTGGGTGTTTCAGTAAATTTATTTGTCTGCGGTAACTTGTCAAAATTTTCATGCTAATTTTTTGTGATGCTTATAAACCATTTTAGGTGTTAGCTTATTTAATACGGATCCAACGACATAGATATGTAATATATACAGCTCCTATAAAAAAGGATATACATATCATCATTTTAAATCACGATAGCCATAACTTTAAAAGTCGGCTACACGAATCGTCGCATTAGCACTTGTTTGCACAAATGACCAATTCTTATTGTACTTTAAAGTAGGGAATTTTTGAACTCTATTTAAATACAAAGCGTTATTACTAAGATTTATATACGTACATATATAGATAAATACATTTTTTTCAGCTCTTTTAAAGTAAAATGTGTATTATATGTATACCAATAAAAATTGATATGTAAAAATTAATTATTCCATATTAAAACTCCATCGATAAATTCGTTTGGACAAATAAGCCCTGAGATGACGATAGGTCGATTAAATGTGGAAGTTCCTATGATCTTTTACACTGAAATTGCTGGACGAATTTTGTTTTTTTTTTACCTCTAGGAATATAATTTCCAAAATTTCTTCCTTATGATATCTACTCCTCCAGTTTATTACTTATTGGTAAATATTTTATTACTTATTCGTAAATTATAAGTAGTGTCTTTTACATTTAACTGTCAAATTTAAACTTTTTTTTTACCATTTTTCTTTCTGATATTTCATGTTCACCAAATATTAAATAAAATATAATATTTATTACAGATTGCCTCTTCGATTCCCTTATTGAAGATACAAAGAAAGAAGAATCGCATAAGAAGGATGATGTAGACACGGCGGTACTAAGCAGTGACGAAGAAGAGCCGCCGCCGAAATCTCCGCCCAAAAAGAAACCGGCTCCGAAGAGGAAATTGATGAATGTTGACAAGGAGAAGGAAAAAGAGAAGGAAAAGGAAAAACCTAAGAAAAGACCCGCTAAAGTACTCTTAAGTCAGGATAGTGATGATGACAGTATATTTGACAGTAAAAAGGTATGTACATTTTTGTTTGTTTTTTTAAACATGCTAATCTATGAAACTACAAGTATGGTTTGATAATGTTTTTTTGCATGTATTGAGCCCATTTATTGAGTTTTACATAACAGCCAATAAAGTAGCGGCAGGTGGAAGATCTCTGTGCCAAATTTCATCCAGATCCGTTCAGCCATTCTGGTGTGGAAGAGTAACAAACATCCATACATACTCACAAACTTTCACTTTTATAATATTAATATGGATGTATTCTGACTATGCACAGGAGAAAAAGAAGACGAATCCTAAGAAGAAAGTGAAGAAGATGTCCAGTGACAGCGAGTGTGAGGAGATCCCGAGCAGTCCGGTGGCACCACGTCCCAATGCACGTTCTCGTCCGCAGAAGAAGTATCACTTCAGTGATGGCTCTGACTCTGATTGATGTGGTACAGAATTTGTTTTCTTTTTTTATATTTATATACTAGTGACTTACCGTCGCTTTGCCCGTGTGCGTCCCTAGGTACGATTTTATTGACATTTTCATATGTTTAATTTAAATTTGGGTGGAACCTGATTCTTTTTCTAAAATAAAAGTAGCCTCAGTTACACCTTATAACATCATCTATCTGCCAGTGAAAGTCCCTTCGAAATTCAGCTATTTCAGGACAGACAGATAAAAATTTAAAAAATTGTTTTTTTCTTATTAGTACAGTATTTACTTTCATATGCATTGATTAAAACGCTGCTATTTTGACATTACAAACATACACTACAATTTTATTTATCGATATGTATATGATAGGATTATGTTGTTAATTCTGATATAAGCTATCATGATTTAAATTTTTATTCAAATCCGTTTAGTTCTAGAGATGTTCCTTGATCTGTTAAGTTGATGTGTGTATGAAACAAGGTCTCTCCCAATTCCATGCTGTTACTGAGAGTTTATTGATAGAAAACCCCAATAATATTATACTAGGCTCAACGAGGGACTCGAACCCAGAGCCTCTGGATCTAAAGCCGCACCTGCTAGACACCAGACTACGGAAGAGATACGAATTTGTTAAAATTTTGGATGAAATTTTTTGCAACTGGACCCCGTAGGTGGCAGGACACCGTCTGTCGGTCCGTATATGATAGATAGATACATTACTTACTATAATTAATTGAAAAAAATATCTCCTTTCCAGTGTGACTCGAGACAATTGTTGTGATGTAAAATGAACCCCTGCAAGTGTTAGCCACTGAGAGCTACAGAGATTTTTATACGACGTTATATTCATATTGAATCTTTGACTCGGATTATTTTATTACTTATTGGTATTGTGTCTTTTACATTTTATTTTTAAAACGATAGGCACAAGTATTGTAAGATTTTAAGAGTTATTATTAATATGTTTAATTTTTTCATTCTGGTGTGTGACCTGATGAAATTGCCATTATTTTTTTTTTTTTACCTGAGTAAATTGGACTAACTTTAATTATAACATTTATGTACGAAATTAAATGGTCTTAGATATAAATTTTTAAATTAATTTCGAATTAAATATATAATAATATATTTGATATTGACCGTTCGTTGTATTAAAGAAATTTCTTAGATATTGACTATATTTAGGTAAAAATGGACGTTTGACCGTTTTAGGCTTAAAGTATGTTTTGTTTATACTAAAGTTAGTCGGATTTACTGTGTGTAACATTTTTGCCCAATTTTTTTTTCTCATTCTAGTTACTTTCTTCTTTTTCTTTTGTGTTCGTACATTAGCTGTGTATTTTCCTATAGATTGTTTTGAAAATAAAGGCAATTTTGAAGTGTCATGTGTCGTAGTATTTATTTATTGTTGTAGTACAATTTTAATTTTCACGACGATTTGTATGACATTTTTAAGATTTTTCATTCCATATGTATAATGAAATATGTAATATTTATTTGTCAATTATAGTGAAGGTATGTCGAATGTAATAACATTTTACCTTGGAGTCTCGTATTACAAATATTATTTGAACTGTTTTCACGTGACAATGTCTTGATTGTTCATTAAAATAATTTGTAAATAAATAGTGATAATTTTATAAGTAAATGTTTGTTTTATTTTAGTATTCACAGTTTTTCAATTTGTTTGATAACTGAAATTTTGAATTCGGTCCGTCCTCTAAACATGGGGTCTCATCACGAACAAAGAAAAATTAGTTCAATAAATGTTAATAGATGTCGTTGCGTGTATCGGTTTGTTATTAAAGTAACAAAAAATAAAAAAGCTGATCGAGAAAAGGTGTATTAATGTTTTATAAAATATTGTAAGTGGAAGGAAACGAAATGATACGTAAATCAAATTTACGTAATTTTACCGATTATTGAAATATCGGCTATCAGTTGATGGGTTTGTAGTGTGTATTCACAGCTGGCGCTTTTACTTTTTTGTTAAAATCACAGATTTTTATTCGAACGCAGGATGAATTTTACTATATTTACCACACGTTAGTTTGCACGTATGTATTTATAAAATAAAACATTAACTATTTGGGACACAATGACATATAAATCTATTCAAACAAACAAAAGTAGCCTGAATATTGCCCGAATTAGCGCTGTCCGATTTCATTGTATGGGATGAGGCTTTTGTACTAATATAGTATTATGTGATCTAACTTTCATCCAAATTTGACCAGCCATTTATAAAGCCATTTTGTGTAAATTCGAACAATAAGATTAAAAATGAACTCAAACCCCATTAATTATAAATACGAAAGTTTGGATGAATGGATGTTTGTCACTCAATCACGCCAGAACACCGTTTAGGTGTTTCATTTCATCCAGATCCTAAACGGAAATTTGGCACAGAGATACATTATGGTCTGGAATAACACATAGGCTACTTACCGGAAAAATGTTCAGTTCCTGTGGGATAGATTTGTATTTCTTTTTCAGTAGGGATGAACACGAGCGAAGCGAGCGTAAGTCGATATAGTTATTAAATAAAAGAACACATATAGTAATAAAATCATTTATTAGAGACATTTAATAATGTAAATACATTCTTATATAGTTATTATATACTCCATACTCCAAACATATCGGAGTCGAATTTCAACTATTATTACTCCTTAGAATTTTAAATAACAGGTAAATTAATATGGCATTTTCAGAACCTTAGTTGTATTATTTACAATAGACACATACTTTGTATATTTTGTTTTTTGATTAGTTATATTATGTAGGTTTAGTTACATAGATATATAGAACATTTAGATATTTATTCATCGTAAGTAAATTTTTGATTTATTTTTAATATAATCAGGGCTGCCAGAAAATATTTTATGAGTTATATTGATCAATAAATGAAAAAATATGAAAGTACATATATAGATATTAGATAATTCTTTTTTTGTTTAATTATTTCATCTGGCAACCCTGAAATTATTAATACCATAATATATAAAAAAAATATTATTTAAAAATTTTAAATTCATAATAAAAAATAAATAAAATATTATAAATAAAAAAAGAAATATCAATTTATTACTTACAAATAAATGTATGTCCTAACGTTAATAAACTAAAAATACATACATGGTGCTCGTAAATGAGCAACTGAAATTTAAATCTAAGTAAAGAATACAGATAATTAGTGAAGTGAGAGCAAATTTATAAATACATTTACATCGATTTTGAACTATTATGAATTGTTTTATCCAAATATTATTTAGAATATTTCATTCCATTATATTTTTCATATTTATTCGACAATTTAATAATTTCCACAACTTTTTCAATTAAAGATTTTTCTAGTGACAGACAGAAAGTACTTTACAGTACTACTAATATTAGTAGCACTGGAATTACTTTATTTAGTTACTTTTAGATATTTTTATCTATACATATCTGAACATTGCATAAATTAAAAATAGTGATTTTATTGGTCAGTTATTTCTATGGAGCGTAGAGGTAAGGAGTTACTGTGTATTAAAAAAAGTCTGTCAAAACGCGTCCAATAAGGGTAAATAGTTGAGGTTTTTTTTTCATGAAAAATTTTATATTTTTGAACTCTGCACGTTACACTCCGCCTACAACAGCTAAATTCTTATCGTAGTTTTTCATACGCCAGCGCCATCTATTTTCAGCATACAGTTGGAAACTGTTTCAACTTGTCTCCTAAGAGACTCCTTACCTCTACCGTCCATGGTTATTTCCGCCATTTAAAGAAATTATAGAAAATATATTTCGCATCATTATAATTATATAAAATAACACGTTCATTTATTAAATTGTTAAGAAAAACTTTTATTATAATTAATACTTTCAAATTTGAAAATGTATTACACATATGCCGTTGTAATTATGATATCGGCAAGAACATATAGATGTGGGTTTTATTCCTATATATTGCTTAAGGGCAGCTTTATATGAATTTTATAAAATGTCATAATATAATCTGCCTTCTTTTATATAAATCGTAGTGTACATATTGAATGGGATTAGACAAGTGCGAGTTTGATATCGTTCGGAGGGTTCCGTACTAATTCTTATTTAACTCAGTTGATTTTATATTTTTTAGAGTAAAATAATTGCGTAAACAATATCATTCAATTCATTGATAAGAATAAAAACTTTTTATTTCATAGTATTTCTCAAAAATACCATAAAAACAAATTTAATTTTACGGCCGCTATACAGCATTTAACCGTTATTATGGCCTATGTCAAAAGTACTCAACGTATCTTCTTCAAAATAACGATATATTTGAGAAGTGCCAGTATCTGATAAAGTTAAACGAAAAATCAGATACTATTGTCTTTTAAATCTTTGACAATATTTTTGTTCTTTTTAAAATTGAATATACTTTTAAATATTTCAAAAGTCTGAAAAATAATGTTAAAATTCTTTTAACGGTCTATATTGTAAATAAAGGCAGCAACTTTTTAGCCCGAAGTCAAAACACACTCCATTTGTAATCCCATTATTTATTCCCACGCATTAAAACTGAAACCTATACTTCAGTTCTTCAAACTAAACAACGATACTAGATCAGTACCTGCTTAACTTACTTTCTCTATCAGAATACCCCTTAGCACTTTCACGGTCAGAATATTTACCGTTATACTTATTGTATCGGTCATGACCGTTCTGTCTGTACGGTTTTTCACTAGCACTATAGTGTATTTCTGAAGGGCCGATGGTTTTTGACCAGTGGTGAGTCCAGTAGAAGTCGTCTGGATATCTCGGGTAAGGGTTCTCTCGGCAAAGTACTACGCAGTATATGAGACTGCCGACGAGTGTGATGAAGCCGAATATAAGGAAAACTATACCCAGAATCCTGAAATGAAAGAATGAATTAGTTTTAATTGTTTTTAATTTAATCGTCTTAGTGCTAATTTGTTCGAAAGACCAATACTTGTTGTGTTTTACAGTAGTTTTTCCTTCTATTTTAAAAATAAAGTTTTATTTCTAAGACTAGCGACTCACCCTCGTTTTGCTCAAGTCCGGCCCTAGGTACGTTTTGATGCTTGGTATGGGAAAGATTTTTTCAAAAAATTCAACAAATCAAAGATCATCAAAATCGGTCCAGCTGTTCTCGAGTTAGACTTTGTTTTGTATTATATAGATTTAATCGTCTTAGTGCTCATTTGTTCAAACGACCAATAAATGTTGTTACTTTTATAACGGCTTTATTAAAGTAAAATACGGATTATATTATAGAATTGACTTAAAAGTCAAAAATTCTGTATTAAAAACTCTTTTGGTAAATTAATCGTTTGGACAAATAAGCTAGTGCTTATTTTGTATATTTATTATTTCTTACGTATAATTTGTATAAAATACGTTTTACAATTTTATTTACTAGTTGTAGTATATGTAATTACCTACTAATTAGCTAATCACCACTATACACTATACATGTCTTTTTTTACATAGAAATATGAGCTAGAGGAAGCTTTAGCACAGTAATGTTACATAAACATCACCGTGGCTTTAGTTAGGTCTTTTTGTCTGTTTTCGAACGTTTTTTTTATTACGAAGATTATTTTTATACCACAAATAGCTTTAGAATAAATGGACATATATGTACTTTAAAGCTATTAAAAGTCTTCCAGCCATTAATTTTAGCAATATTCTTAAAGAAACAGACAGACAGTCAAATTCTATATATATACTTATTTGACTTTAATTACATATACTATAATTACAAACCCTAGCAACCCATTTCTAAAAACTAAATTAACTTAAAGAAATATATATATATATATATATATATATATCATGTAATAACATATATATGTTAGTATATACCTCTTGTACATATCTTACTAAGATAGGTACAAAGAGGTGTCATTGGTAAGCAAGGTAAAGAAAAACTTGTATATTCATCGTATTTCATTACTATATTCTGGCATAAGTTAATGATAGAGTCATTATATATTTTTTCATCTACATTTTAAGGAGGTCTCGAACTTCGTGGGAAATGTCGAAATCAAAAACGCTACAAATGTCATACTGCAAATTACATTTACCGTTATAACTTAACTATTTAAAATGTAAATTGATTTTTAATGTTACTCTCTACCATACGACACGCTCGATATTCGCTAGCGAGTAACGCCATTTGTGTGGGGTGTACAGTTATGTTACTATTGTAACGTTAGTATATTATTGCTGCTATAGTTTTAATTTAATAAAGCGTTAAATATGATTTGCCTGTAATAACTATAGTGTAAATTAGATTTTGGAAGGAAGAAAATATATTCTAACTAGCATTGCTCGCGGCTCCGTCCGCGTTCAGATGACCAAAAACCATATTCTTAGGTTTTAGATATTAGTACATTGCAGTTTTTGTATTTTTTCTCAAAAATAAGATATTTTCCCGCGGTAAAAAATATCCTATATGTTGACCGGGATAACCAGCTATCACCATACCAAATTGCATCAAAATCCATCCAGTGGTTTTTCTGTGATGCGATAACAGACAAACAGACATACAATATTTTTAAAACTATAGATTCGGCCTTTGTATCGATAATAATGTTTACCTATTTCAATAAGATTTTCCAAAAAATATCTAATGTACAGATTTGGCTTGGTTACACTTTTATTATATGTATAGATGAAAACAATATGGTACAAAGTCGCATGAAAAATACCCATAGATTGGCTTGAGTTTTAAAAAAGAAACATAAAATTTTATATCTCTTTGATTTCCATACATCTATTTCATAATAAAATATGCATTTACTAAAAAACTTATACGGATAGTTTTTTTGAAAATTATATGTCTGCCTATTCCTTAAAAAAAAGTTCACAATTTTCGAATATTGCTTAACAATTAGCATACCCAATAAATATCAATGCAAATTGTGCACCTCCCTCTTCGATGTCGTTCAAACTAACATTTACTTATACCAGTCATGTATACATTAACTGATGTTCTCCTAGCCGATTCCGGCCACGGCGGCTAATCTCATTGAGACTAGCCAACTGCGCAGGAAATATTATAGTGCACAGTGTACGCGCAGACACAGGTGCACTCTCTATTCCTGTCACTCTCATACTCCGGTGGGACGACTACTCGACACGACCGGTGAGAGTTAAGGCGCAGTCCCGACAATTTTACGTGCTCTTCGAGGCACGGGGTTGAAACACCGCCAACTTCCCAACTCCGGGCTGTTACTGAGACTTAATATACAGAAAGACTCAATAACTAAACTTGGCCCGACCCGGGACTCGAACCCAGGACCTCCGGTGTGCAGCCGTACATGCTAGCCACTACACCACCGAGGCAGTATAATATTAATGTTATACATTAACTATACAGCTATAGTAACGTCACTATAGCGATAATATCTCATAGTAGGGACTAAACGATCACTATTGTTGAATGTGGAAGAAACCGCATTATGATCTGATTTTCGAAACAGTTTACCCAGTTTTGGAACGTGAGAACTGTTTATTGATATTTTCGCTTTTTTACACTTTTACGTGAGACATATCGGTATTAGATTTATGTGTGAGTATAACTAAAGAGTTGGTGTACACTTTTTTATGGGATAATTTAGTTTTCTGCAGAAATAAGAACTTATTTACGTATGTAAATAGTTATTATTGAATTGGAGATATAATTTTTTTTTCAACATCATCAATAAAACACACCAAATAGTAATTTTTGAAAAATCTGTCTGTCTATCTTATTTTTAACAAGAATTGAATCGGTTTTAAAAACAATCGTTTACATAATATTTCAATCAATTGTAGTAGTACAGCTGTATAAAGCTACTCTAAAAATTCCCTAACAAAGTTATGAAGAGAAATGTTTATGATTTTTATAACTCGGAAAAAACATTATAACTTCTACAAAAACAAAACTAACATTTAAAGTATAAGTATATAAAATAAAAAAGCACACTATTTTAAAAAAAGTTAAAGAGTATTTCAATTATTTACTTTAAAGTTAATTTAATTAAATTTAAAAAATGTTAACAAAATAAACTTACCAAACAAACAGTGGCTCAAAGAACTGCAGTACAATGACGAAGCCCAAGGTGACGAGGATGAGGCCCAGGTTGAGGAGCAGCATGAGGCAGCACATGCCTTTTACGTTCGGACAGAAGGGGTTGGGGGCTGCCATTGCGTCTACTTTCACACCCGCCTGAATTATGAGGGGTTGTTATATTCTCTTTGCTTAAGGGATACTTTAGTTTTTTATATAGAGACAATATAATTCTCAAAAATAATTTACTTGATAGAGTAACTGGAGTTTCTTTTATTAATCTGGATAAATTAAGAACCATGTTTTTTTTATTTATGACACGTCCATGACGTATTTAGCAATAATTTGACCCTAATGTGATTTATAAAGTTGATATGTACCTAAATAGTATGTACATATATCGACACTAGCAAGAAACAATATTACAATTGCATTGCTCGGGTTCGCCTCTATAAAATCAAAAGCAAATCTATCCCATGGGTAGCCTACATTTTTTCGGGATAAAAATAGCCTATATGCTATTCCAGACTATAATCTTATCTCTGTGCCAAATTTCATCCAGATCCGTTCAGCCGTTCTGGCGTGATTGAGTAACAAACACCCATACTCACAAACTTTCAAGATCTATAGTATTTATATAGATTCATTTAGTTTTATATATATATTTTTCGTATGTGATAAATGTGTGTTTATGTTATGTTATATATTAAATTCTATCCCCAAAGGTGTTTGCTTTAAGTAATTACGCCTTTGCACGTCTGATGTAATTTCTTAGACAACATCTGTACTTATTGTCCTATGATTTAGAGTCCAATAAAGAATAAATAAATAAAATAAAAAATACTGTACCATAGCAATACTACGTCACTATGATAATTTTATTGTATAAATAAAGATTTACCTTTCTAGAGACTTTAGAGCGGTGTGTAGAGGCCACGGAGGGTGCTACCGCGCTTCGGTACGAGTAGACGCTACGAGGCGCGCGCGACTGCCGACTGTTGGGGAAATTAGCATAAGTTACAGCAATACTAGCGAAAAACAAAAACAAATCTATCCTACGGGAACCGTACCTTTTTCCGGGATCAATAGCCTATGCGCTATTCTAGACTATAATCTATTTCTGTGCCAAATTTCATCCAGATCCGTTCAACCGTTCTGGAAGGATTGAGTAACAAACATCCAAACATCCATCTGAACTTTGACATTTATAATATTAATAAGATTTTATTATTAGACGAGCGGGAGATTTTCCTGCAGTAAAAGATATGACGCAATAATAAGTTATCACTACACAAGATTTAATTCAAATCGTTCTGTACCTTTGCGTGAAATGCACAAAGATGTAGAGACAAACAGACAAAAATTTCACCAACTATTGTTTTGGGGTCTATATTCTGTATGTCATTGTTTTCAAAAAATATTTTATGTACAGATTTCGCTTTGCTACTATTTTCTATACATATAATAAAATTTAAACTGAGTCGAATCTGCACATTATATATTTTTAAGAAAATCTTATTGAAATAGTACTTAATTATTATATAATCGATACAGAGACCGAATCTATAGTTTTTAGAATTTTTGTCTGTCTTTTGTCTCTTTCTGGGAATGCATAACGAGAAAACCACTGGACAGATTTTGATGAAATTTGGTATGATGATAGCTGATTATCCCGGTTAATATATAAGATACTTTTTACTGGGGGAAAATATCTCATCTCTGAGAAATCTATTGAACACATTTTGTTGGATCCTATATTAAGACATTTATTGAAACCAACAGCTATATTTTCATATTGAATAACTCTAAATAAATAATCTATGTATACTAACATAGATAGCTAAAGGGTTTGTTTGTTTAAGAATGCGATTCTCTGGAACTCTTAGTTCCATTAGACTTTTTTGCATTTTATAGCCTTTGCCTATTTATTGACGAAGATAGGCTATCTACCTATTATTACGCTACCACCTTTAGGAGCAGAGCAAAATTATCTGTCTATACATATAATAAAATTCTGAGTCAAATCTGTACATTAAATATTTTTTGGAAAATCTTATTGAAATAGTCATTATTATCAATACAGACGCCGAATCTATGGTTTTTAGAATTTTTGTCTGTCTGTCTGGGAACGCATCACGAGAAAACCACTGGTCAGATTTTGATCCAAATATGGTATGATGATAGCTGGTTATCGGGGTCAACATATAGGATACTTTTTACTGTGGGAAAATATCTCATCTTTGAGAAATCTATACTAACCCTTAATATACATAGGGACGAACCCGAACGAAGCGAGGGTGAGTCATTAGTACTTAAATAAATTAAGAGAATAATATACAAACAGAAGGATGAAATATTTCAGACGTATAATAAAAGTTAAATAGACTCTGACGCGTCAGTTATCACGAGTTTGCTCCCCGGTCAGAGTAAATGTTGACTTCACTGAAGCTTGTTAAATTTATTAACCAATAATCACGTACATCTGCCCATTGAGATGGTGCTAATCGAGTCACGACTCCGAACGATTAGTTTCGAGTCAAGGTCGGATCGAATGTAACAATCGAGTGACATAATGTTGTTTAGTAATTCTCGTTTGAGGGTCATTTTTGACCAACTTCAAAAGAAGAACTACTAAATTCGATAGTACGTAATAATTAATCGATAAATGCCAATGATGAATCTATTTTAACATTTTTTTAATGAATCGGTTAATTATGTGTGGCCATATACGTAAGTTTAAAAAAAATTATTTACTTAATTTTAAATTGTATATTTTTGTTTTTAAATTAATTTTGTTTGATAATATAAATTATATAAACATATAATAATAGTACTAGAAATTTTCTAATAATTTTTTTCAAAATCAGTATAGCTGCTATAAAATAAATACTAAACGGATCAAAATTGTGAAATAAATTTATTTTAATAAGTCGACTGACTACTATGAGGACTAGTACTTACCCCAAGAGGAAGCTGCATTTATACTTTTTGATATTTAAGATAAATCTGTGAGTGGTATACCACTTTATATAATACTTTCATATACGAGTATGAATGAGTGGTAGGTACATATGGGCCATTCTTTAATTACGTAAGAACAATTTTGCCCATTTTTGATCCCCCCTATCCCCATGTAAGATTTCGACTTATAAAATATTACGTAAGAATGGCTTTTACCCCCTCCCCGATTCGAGATGAGGGCATGTAGAGATTTTGAGAACCCCCACTCCCCCTTCAGACCCTTAGGTAATTAATGAATGGACCCTATGTCTGTATGTAAGTATACATTAGAGAAGAATGTTAGTTATTTAGATGAAAAAATAATCTTTGATTTATGACAAATCATAAAACTAATTTGATACAACTAAATGAATATACCCAATTATATTTTTAAATTTCTCACTTTCCAAATGTAGAGAAAATATGAATTATACTGCAGGCGATAATGATGTGTCCACGAAGATTAATGTCTAAAAACTCGATTAAAACGCTGCCATTGATACTTGACTGATGAACAGTTTCCATTTATGATTAAAATTAATTTTATATTTATAGCTATTTATAAAAAAAAATGTCATATACATCGCCCGGCAAGTATATCATCGAGGGCTGCTTTCCAGTATTTTAGAACAATTTCAAAGAAAACAATGATTTATTGAAATGTACACATTACATACACGTATTTATTGCGTGTATTTTATGTTTTAAATTTTGTATCTATTTATTATATATATTTTTTCAAAGAAGTGCAATTATTAAAATAACTTTTTTAAAATTACCTATAATAAAATTAATACTAAAATTTGCCAATTACCTATAGTATAATATATTTTTCCGAAAATATTTCAATTACACAGTAAAAGTAAATGCAACATTTAAATTTATTTTCTTACCATTTCCTCCATACATTTGATAATAATTAATTGATTAAATACATAATTCTACAGAGTTTGTACACTACAGAACAGCCACATAAAAAGTAACGTCTTGATAATTATTTTGATTGGTTCTTTATGTTGGGTGGACACTTTAAAGATTTATAAAGAGAAAGTTCGTAGTAATCAAAGAAATCAAAAAATCCCTTAGTCATTTTAAACGGACAAGTGTTTACAAATAAGATGTCAAACTGTCGACAAAAGCTTCTATAAAAAGCTCTTTTGTAATAGAACAATTAGATAAAAAACGAATCGAAGCGGTCCTGCCGCTTCCTAAAATAATTTCAAAGTCACTAAACAAAATAACATCACTAAAAAAAACAAAAAAAACTTTAAATAGAAAATATCAAATCTTGAGGTTTTAGAAGTCGAACCTTTTTATGAAGTTACTTTGGAATACTGGTTTAATTTTAAATAAACACTATCTTATGTATTTAATGCAATATTCTGCAAAGATGGAGAAAAAAAGTTATATAAATGTCACTTTTAACCGACTTCCAAAAAGGAGGCGGAATCTTTTTTTCTTTTTTTTAATAAAAATATTTTTTTTAATGTAAATTACAAGACAGGAACATCTCGATGGAATTTTTTCGTCTCAAATCTATCTCAAAGCTACATTATGCCGTCACATCAAACCACACAAAAACTAAAGTCACCTTCCGATTCTCTGCTTAAATTGCTTAATGGAAGCATCGTCACGCTTTGATTCTGAATACTGGTTGAGAGTAAACTAAATTAGACATCGCCATGGGAAATGTACTGATGTAGGGAATTATCCTGAGTGCGTTTTGTTTTTTTATATAAAAAAAACTATGATCATTGGCTTTTGGGCCATGGGAGATCAAGTCTCAAGCTAGTTTTTAATAATTCGATACGATTTCTTTCGATTAAAACTATTTCATTTGAAGGCACGTTATGGGATGAATTTCATTCAGTAATTTAAGGCTACATTTGAAATGACAAATAAAATTTTGAAAGGCGGTTATTAATGCATTTTCATAATATGTATAAGTAGGGATCGAATCAACGATGTTAGAGAGTCCCAACAAAAAATCGTACTATAATTTCCATGACTTTCTAGCATAATAATGTTCGTCGTAAATGTCGTAGTTATCTCGTATTTCAGTTATCGTGGGTTCGAGTCACGCTCAAGTTTAAATATTTAATAAGTATATGTATTTAATTAATCTTATAAGTATTTATTGCAGATTATTACAGGATTCTTCTATGGTAAGCTTGTGCTAAAATTTATTAATGTGTGTAGCGAAAATATTTATTTGCTTATTCCTCTCACAAACAAATATATTACCATGAGTTTAACTTGGCAAAAGGTAGAAGTGTAAAAAAACCGGTCAAGTACAAGTAGGACTCGCACACGAAGGGTTCCGTACCATAATCGATTTTTTAAATTTGCATGGCGGTTATTTTGAAATTCACCATCTTGGTTATTTTATTATATATATTTATATTTGTTGTTATAGCGTCAATAGAAATAGACACTCTGCGTAAATTTCAACTCTCTACCTATTACGGTTCATGAGATACAGCCCGCTAACAGACGGACGGACAGACAGCGGAGGCTTAGTAATAAGATTCCGTTGGCTACGGAACCCTAAAAATTATGCACACATTTTATATCAGAAAATCTCAATATCACAATATAATCGCAGATTTATCCGAGACATAATAAGAGTACCGTTTGACCCACATCATGGCATCCAGATTGGTTATCCACTTCTACTCGGTAATAAATTGCATTATGTACGTCAATAAATCAACCGCTTTGCATGTGCTGTTCTACGTTTAGCTTTGATTGCCTACATTGTGAATATTTATTCGTGAGAAAGGTTTAAAGTTTGCTACAGCTGGTTATTTATTTGTACTGTTTTCAGTATATTTAACTTTAGGTTACAGAAATAATTAAAATTTGAACGGTTGGTTGTTTGAAATTTTGTAGCTGTTACCGTTAAGAGTTATTTTTGTTTGTTTTAAAAGATTGTAATAATTTATACAAGACAGTATATTTGCTTATGTAAGAGACGGAGTCGCGTGAACAAGGGTTCAGACTTCAGCAGGTACATAGTATGTTTATACCTATATTACGTTATATATTTTTTGTTTATGTTAATTTTTTCATGTGCGGATACAAACATATTAAAAAACTGCAAAAGACGGTTAAAAATATCAGGGTTACTAAAATTAAATTTTTGGGAAATATATTTTTTTTTCTCGAAAAATATTATGAAAAATTTGTAGATATTTTCCGAGTAAGTCAAAACAATTACTTGATACACTAGCATAAATTGGCTCTGTCACCCTACGACCTATAAAAAAATATATATTTATTATTGGGACATTAAAACGCAGCACCATATGGATACCAGATAATTGATACACTACACATATATAACTTTAAATACATACATATTATAAATATATACACTCATGACTGGAGTACAAATATTGGTGCTCATCACATAAATGAATGCCCTCAGCGGGACTTGAACCCGCCACCGCTGGCACAGCAAGTACGGTCACTACAAACTGAGCCAAACGTGTTGTGTAACCTATAAACTAGCTCTATGTTAAAATTCATTCATTACACTGTTGCTGCGAAAGAAAGAAATATAATAAACAAACTTCAGCTACAAACACTATTACATAATATATATAATGTACATTGTACATATAATATATAGAATTGTGAAGGTTAAAAAAACCATGTTTTATATAAAGCAGTGAACCTTCAATCCAATTTGCACTTGACCGATTGGCAATTACGACAAATTTTATAATCTTTTAATTCAGAAATGTTTGTATCAAATGTATGTGCATTCTAAGAATCTATATATAATACTAGGCATTACCCGCGGCTCCGCCCGCGTTCAGATGACCAAAAATCAAATTCTTAGGTTTTACATATTAGTATACTCTTACATTGCAGTTTTCGTATTTTTTCTCAGAAATGAGACATTTTCCTGCGGTAAAAAGTGTTCTATATCTTGACCCGGATAACCAGCTATCACCATACCAAATTTCATCAAAATCCTTCCAGTGGGTTTTCTGTCATGCGGTAACAGACAGACAGACGCCTAGGGACGAACTCGAGCGAAGCCAGAGTGATTCGTTAGTAACGTAATAAATATTTCTTATTTTCATAACAAAATACCGTTATTCTGACAATATAAGTAATCGAAAACTATAGTATGAGATGTAACGTGTCCATGTGTGATGAGTCATACGCCGTTGCACCGATTGCGTTCCATGGGTGTATGGGTAATTTTCCATCAATCTTGGCGTTTAATATGATGGTTTTGTTTCGAGTTGGAGCACAGTCTAGCGTTTCAGTTAAACGTGAATAATATTTATTAGTGTCATATGACTTTAAAGTCGTTTTGTATTCAGCCCTCTTTAACGTACCACTGCTGGGCACGGGCCTTAAATACGAGGGGGATCAGGCAATAGTCCACCATGCTGGCCAAGTGCGGGCGGACTTCACATGTCTTTCGAAAACTTGCTAGGTTCTCTCAGACACGCAGGTTTCCTCACGATGTTTTCCTTTACCGTAAGACAATAAAGTATTGACATTAGAATTTCAGGTTTTGTATTTTTTCTCAGAAATAAGACATTTTCCCGCGGTAAAAAGTACCCTCTATGTTGACCCGGATAACCGGCTATCACCATACAAAATTTCATGAAAATCCCTCCAGTGGTTTTTCTGTGATGCGGTAACAGACAGACAAATTCTAAAACTATAGATTCGGCCTCTGTATCGATAATAATGTTTATTTCAATTAGATTTTCCAAAAAAAAGTTTAATGTACAGATTCGGCTTAGTTACAATTTTATTATAATATGTATAGATATGTATAGATATGTATAGATAAATAGGGGGCGTTTCAAACGCTCGTCTGCTTTCTATTATGAAAATATTTCCATAACTCGACACGTTACGTGATCCGTTGCTCGAATTAGGCGAATCGTCGAAGGATAAGCGAGACTAACTCTATAGCGGTGCCTTTGTGCCTATAATTTACACTAGAATGTTCATCTTACTTTAGTGAGTTTTAGATATAGACGTCATTAGAAAGTTTGCTTGAACTAAGTTTAAATTTAACTCAAATTTTGAGTTAAATAGAACTTTAATCAGCCGTGTGTATTATAAGAACATCTTACGAGTGTAAAAGTCGTTTGTTAGGAATTGTATGTACCTTTAGTGTGATTGTCTTAAGTCTAAAGTCTTAAACTTTTGTTTCAATCAAACCCAACAAAAAGTAATGTAAAAGTATGGCCATTACTAATAATATGGTAAATAATCTCTTTCTGGCTTAAAAGTTTTAAATAAATTTGAAATTCAGCATTATTTCTCTTTGATATAATTAATAAAACAAATTTTAGTAATATGAAATTCAGTTGTTTGGAGAAATATGTATGAAACTAGCGACTCAACCTCGCTTCGCTCGAGTTCATCCTTAGGTACGTTTTAACGGTTAGTATGGAATAGATAGACTATATATTATAAATAAATAGCCTCTAGCCTTCCTCAATAAACAGGCTGTCTAATGCAAAATGAATTTTTCAAATCGGATTAGTAGTTCCTGAGATTAGCGCGTTCAAACAAACATACAAACAAACTCTGCCTCTTTATAATATTAGTTTAACGTTTTATTTTTGCTTCGTTCGGGTACGCTTTTAGGACCATAATAGCTATCTTTGTGTTACTCCAGGTTATAGTTTACCTGTGGACATTTCAACCAAATATTTCCAGCCGTTCAAAGGATGTAGCAAACTCACACATAAACTTTCGCTTTTACAGTAGAAATCTGATGGAAAATGATCTCCCTTTGAGTTTGCTTTAAGGAATTTAATGTTAGAAATAATATTTTCATAATATTTTCTTCTAAAAAACATTCAAGTAAGTGTTAGGCACCAGTGTATTTAAAAATTTGGAAATTACTTTTTATGCTAGAGACTGATGTTAGGAATATATTATATCAAGTTTTTACCTTATTTCAGATGGCGGTCGGTACGCAGCGCTAGTGACGTACACTTCAGAGCCGGAGTCCCGCGGGGAACCATTGGGATGCCGTCGCCCATTCCTGTGTTCTCCAGCGGACGGCGAGCGTGTGCGCTCATCTATTGCCTGGAATATTTTTTAGGTAAAATTAGTTATTTTTTATTAGTTTTACAGTTAGTTTGTTAGTCATTAAAAAGGAGCCTAGCTTATGTTAATCAAGACTTCTTCTCCATTCTATGAGATATGGCGGAGTTATCTGTACTAAACAGGCACGCTTTGAAGCCAACAAGAAAATTTAATTGAATTGAATTTACCAAGATTTGTTGAGACGCTAAAGCGTGCATAAATAACAAATACACTCATTCGCTTTAAATTTCAATATTTATCATATTAGCGTGGTATATATAAACAAAAGTAAACTAGATATATATTTATACATGGATACTGTAGAAGACACAATATTGTGCCATCGGGAGATTTATTCGAAGCTACGGGAATGGGTTGAAATTTTTGGTTATTTATTTTACACAAAAAGTGCAACTTTTTTAATACTTTCTTAGAATTAATATTCGTGATATTTGACTTTTTTTTTCGACGTCAGACACGAAAATCAAAATAAATCTGTAAAAAACCCAAGAGTACAATTAAATATAGATTTTCTTTTATATTAATTATTAATTTAATTGCAATCTGTTCCTGCTTCGAAGGGCTGCATTTTTTTTACTGATTACTAAATGAACGTATTCATTTTGGTTGTATGTTTGTTTGTGTGTATTAATCAATTTTCTTGAATTCCTTTTTTTATGGATAGGTAATAACCATAACGGTGGTCTCATATCAAGAAAGTCCCATATCTGAGGGTGGGATTTTTACTTTTAAATGATTTTGAAGTCGGTTTTTTTATTAAGTAACAATTATCATGAAATCTGGATAAACATAGTTTCTCACTCAAATAATAATCACACTCACTCACTTTCGCATTTATATCTAACTAGCAGTATCCGCAGTTTTGACATTTATGGTTACTGCTCCGCTCCCTTGGGTAGTAGCATGATGATATATAGCTTATAGCCTTCCTCAATAAACGGACTATCTAATGCAAAAAGATTTTTTCTAGTCGGTTTTGTAGTTTCTGAGATTAGCGCGTTCAAACAAACAAACTCTGTCTCTTCATAACAGGTATTATAGATTATAAGTGTGATAAAGAAATTTCTAATTTTCTAGTGCATTCTCTTAAACTTTGGTCTATTTTTAAATCATTAATGTTCGAAACGAGTGAGGCATGTCGAATGTTATGTGTTTTCGTGCCATTTTAATCGTTTTCAAATACGTTTGATGTGCCAAATAAACGATTGTTTGTACAGCTTTGGCGAATCAACATTTCACTCGTTACTGACTACATGGCTAACGTACTCGTACGAGTATGTACCTAATAGCTAAAGAGAAGCTTTTAAATAAAATGCGATTTTTTTGTCATTAATTATAATCTTTTACAAAATTCGGGAGTTATGTTTGATATTTTTTAAATAAATCTTCCGAATCATTTAAGATGTAGCAGAGTCTATAAGTACATATAATAAAATTCTGAGTCGAATCTGTACATTAAATATTTTTTGGAAAATCTTATTGAAATAGTCATTATTATCGATACAGAGGCCGAATATATGGTTTTAAGAATTTTTGTCTGTCTGTCCGTCCGTCCGTCCGTCTGTATGTCTGAGAACACAACATATAGGATACTTTTTACTGCGGGAAAATATCTCATATCTGAGAAATCTATACTAAATGTTAAAATGTAACTAGGAACGAATGCGAGCGGAGCGAGGGTGAGTCGCTAGTCTAAAATATATTAACTACTATCGACTTACTGTCGCTTCGTTCGGGTGGGTAAGTGTCGAACCTAGTACCTAACCTAGTATCAAACAAAGTGCGTAGCCTTTGTGTTACTCCAGGTCATAGTCTACCTTTATGTGAAAATTTATCCAAAAGCCTTTTTAGCGTTAAGTAGTAACAAACATACACTAAAATATTGTATATTTTTGAAGTTATATACTTTTGGCATGTTTAAATTTAAAAAAATAATTATGAGAGTAAAATTTTTACGATGCGCGCGCACACCGACATCCAAAAAGCGACATGATGAAGTCAGCCGAAAGCGATATAATGAAGGTAGCTACATTTCTTTAACAAACAGAGACTTGTAACTTACGGGATGATATCTTTAGCTATTTTTGTTCTGTTACGCCAGAAAAGTATAACTTCTTACGTGCGTATATACTCGTAAGTACACACACACATTTTTTTATTATACATCGTATATGCTGTTTTAGTTAGAACTCTACCTACTATACGAAGTGGGGCTCATGATAAATGGACGTGGAATAAAATAACATCCGCGATGGTCCTGGTAGTACTAAAGGTAGTGTATTAAAATAACTTAAACGTGCTTTCTTAAATTACGACTAAGCTTAATGGTTACTAAAATTCACATCGGTGGTAAAGTTGACAGTATAGCTGTTATTTATTAAATTACCTAATAAGGAAGTTGCATTTCCCATTGCTCAAAGGTCATATATTTATTCTAGACTATCGACATGTTGCATAGAAATGTGTCTGAGAGTAACAGTCCGTCGTCGGTTTGATTTCTCGAATGATGATGTTAATGATTTCAATTTATTGATGATTTTAACTTACTTCCATTTTTTTTATTTATAACTTTCGTAAAACTGAAAAAACTACTAACTAAATATGTAATTTACTAACTAAAAATGTATATAGACATTCTTATTTAAATTGCCGTATTGTGATAAAAGTTTATTTATAATTTTCTTTATTTGAATAAATATACTTGTGCCCAATAATTGATAAATATTATTGAGCTGATCTGATGATGAAATTAAGATGTAGATATAGAGCTTTTCAATAGCATCCCTTGTGTAACCCCTAAAAGGGTTGAGTTGGGTTCAGTAGATTTGGAGTCCAATAAATCTTATTTTATTACCGTATGATAATATGTTTGTATGAATGTATATATGCAGGTATATATATTTGTATGTATGTATTTGTGTATATATATATTTATTATTGTATAATTATAATAATTAGTTGATATATAAAGTTTATACCATTTAGCCAGTTTCCGGAAGAAATCTCTTAAAGGGACAAGTTATCCTTTGTCTACTTTCTGTTATTTTATTTTGTATACCATATATTTTATGCTACATAAATAAAAATAAATAAATAGTTTTTTTTTCATTTCTTTGATATTTTGTATAGAGTTCATTTATATTTTATAATACTCTTTTGTCTAGTCTTTAAGATACCTTAGATTAAAGTAATCTGTTAAGTCTAATAAAGATAATGGCGCGAATTATATAGGAAGAAAGAAAGCTAAATATGATATTACATATTATGTAATAAAAAGAAATATGATATATAATGAACTAAGAATATTCAAAATAATCCTAACATTGAGGTTGTCAGTGTTTTCACTCCGCGGAAATCAAACGCGGAACCTTCTATATGTTATCAAGTTCACTCAAGTACGAGTCGTTGCTACGAAATAAGTTCGTTTTAGATATAAAGCAGTATAATTCACTGTTAGAAATTTCCTTATATTTGCCATATTTTACGATTTCATGTGACATAACATTAGTAAGTAGTATGAATGAACAAACATACAGAGTTCTGGGTATTGAAATTAATTATATGACTGCGGATGTGCTGATTTATGTGGAAGGAAATAGGTTTGCGTCAGAGCTCAGGAACGTAAATGAGACTGAATCGAACCGTTTCATGTTTATGACCGCTTTTATATGTTATTTTCATATTTTTATTGTTTTCGCTTAAAACGAATAGATTTTCGTGTTGAACTTTATTACGTGTAGTAACTGTATTTATTTACTTAACGTTCATAACATGTTTGGTGTATTTATGTTGGCAAAATCATATGATCCATATAATCCTTGAACGTCCTTGCCATTTGTTTCCTGTAGTTTAATGCTTTAGCAGGAATTTGGAAGTTCTAAAATTTTCTCATAATGTATGATGTTATATGTTTCATATGATAATGCTATCATTCTCACTGAATTCGGTCTCGGCGGCCAATCTCATTGAGACTAGCCAACTGCGCAGGAGATATTATAGTGCACAAGTGTATCCGCAGACAATGATGATATGTAACGAGTGCACTCTCTATTCCTTCTCACTATTAAAGTCCGATAGGACGATATTTCGACACAAACGGTGAGATTTAATATGTAGATACGTACGTATATTATGTAGTAATACATGATTTTTCGATAGTAAGCTAATTGTGCCTGTTTGTCCATCCATCACATGAATAATATTATAATGAACAGTGAAATATTCAAAAATTGACCGTTTATAATAGGTGTCATGATCATCATCATATGTTAACTAGCGGCTCACTCTCGCTTTGCTCGGGTTCGTCCCTAGATGCGTGTCACGCCAGTCCGTCACTTTGTTTGGACGTGAAAGAAGGAAAGACAAACAAACACACTTTCACATATATAATAATAAAAAATAATAAAATATGAATTAATCGGTAAAGAGAAAACAAATGCTTTGTTCCAATGCACTCATGCTAGTAACTAGTATGTTGGCGTGTAAACAAACACGCGGCACGCATACACAATTATAAAACGATTTTCGGACACAATATTATTTAATTCGGTACACTACGTACAGGATACAGTGTGTACTATAATATCTTTTTATAATTTCAAATTATTATTATGATATACAATTATTAACTCATTTTTTAATAAAACGCAATGTTTTATACCTATGTATATTAAAAAAAATATTTCGCGTCTTCAATGTTATTCTAAGGACTTACAATGCAAGAAGTAAAAGCCTTTTCTTATTATATTGTGAGAAGTCTTTATAAATTAGGACGATTATTGACATAGTCATTATAAACATTTGCACTGCGCAAGAATCGACCTTACGACAGCAGGGAATGATCTATTACAATTTTACAAATAAGAAAGTACATATGTTTCACGCTGCAAAGGAGTAATGATAACGTATTATTTTTATTGTTTTTTTTTGTTTGGTAAGTAAAAAGACTTAATAGAAATATTAACTTGTTGCAAAATTCTCTCTACTATACTCGAAACGAGTCATTAGTTTGTATGAATGTTTTTCATTAATATATTTTACTTACAGTATATTCTGATAGTGTTCTTTCAGATGGAGCTCGGTGGCTGTCATTTTCATCTCGTGACGGCGCTCTGTGTAGATATCCTCCGGACGAGGGCGAATCAACCCCTGAACGGTGTGTCGCCACGTAATGATTATTTTTCACTTTGTGAGCCATTTTAATATCACTTACACTCACGTAACATTGACAATTTCCAAACTCATTTTCGAATTCACTTTCGCGCCATAAATTGACAGTTCTTTTTTTTTATTTCACACTAGTAACACGTCATTCGCTGTTCAGCCGGAACGCAATCTGTCATATTTTTGATCTCGATGCTGTTAATTATGTAGGTCGACCTGCAACAAAGAAGTGATTTAGGTTGTAGTATTATCGACCTTTTTATGTTAACCTTGAGTAAGTAATGTGCGGTTTGTTTGGTAGCGATATTGACCTATACAATCCACCGTTTCGATCGGAATTTGATTGCAGATATTGTTTTTGTACCAGCATTGTTACCGGTTCACACGTTTTTGTTATTAATATAAAGTATTCTAATAGTGATTGCAGCAGATAAGTAAAAGTAGTTCAATTAAAGCGTGGTATTAGCAGACATGAGGCTTAATGATTTTAATCTTGATTTATTATAAAGAATTTATTAAAAAGTAATAAGTTTGATAGATAAAAGTGATTATTTATAACAATTGAACGAGTAGTACCGACCTAAAAACCTACTAATCGAGATCTTGGTATCGATATTGTTATCGAGTGACCTATCTAAATAATATGCAATTTTCTATCAAATCATCTCGATCGTGATCGAGTTCACTCTCACTGGTCATTCTCCAAAACGATGTTCCATCTACTAATTTTACGATTGAAATTGGTTTGTATCTAAAAGTGCAAATTCATAAAATTAAATATAATATCTAAAATATTATATTTCATTTTATTGAAATATAAAATCTACAACATTATATTTCATTTTATTTACAATTATTTTGAATCCATATCCACACAAAAAGCACTTAATCCATAAACACAATTGTTTATTTTTTCTGACAATGCTATGTATAGTATACGAGTACCTTATTTTAAAGTAATTCATGTGATCGTGATACATATATATATATATATATATATGTTATACGATTTTTTTTGTTTAATTAATTAATACAATGTACTCAAAACAGTATTAATACCAGTAGCGTAACTAGCCTTTTATCTATTTTGAAAACGAACATGTTTCCCAAAGGGAGACAGTTTTCAAACTTCTCACTCTTTTCAAACAGCTCTCCCGGAAGAATGGGTAGAATAAAATTTAGTAAAAAAGCTGAACTTTGAGGACCATTTATCGTTTTATAGAACATAGGTACCTTGTAACAAATAATATGCGGAAATTTTGGACATTCTTTTCTTGCGGTTTTTTTCTATCAGGGCCGTCCTCAAAAAATGTTTTGAAGTAAAAGAATCGTTTGTGGCATTTGTGGAATGTGAATCAGAGGCCCCATGCGACCGAATTGGTTGCATTGGCATAACTACGCTACTGATTAATACTTATGTAGTAGTTCATTTCAGCAAAATTTTTATCCCTCATAAAAAAGTCTTAATGAAATTCTAGAAAGTTATCTTTCAACATCATCCAACGGAAAAGAAAAATTGTAAATATCTACTTTGCTAAAAACAAATGTGACGTAAACCATGTCAAGAGCCACTTGAACCAAAATTCTTAAACTAAATTTACATGTCATCAATATATGTAATCCATACTAATATTATAAATGTGAAAGTGTTTGTTTGTTTGTTTGTTTGTTTGTTTGTTTGTTTCTTTCTTTCACGTCGAAACAGCTTGGCGGATTGGCGTGATTTTTTGTGTGGAGATAGTTGGAGGGCTGGAGAGTGACATAGGCTACTTTTTACCGCGGGAGATTATCTCTTTTCTACGGGAAAACATGTTATAATACAATCCAAAAAAATATTAAAGATCAGAATTACTTGAAACTTGGTATAAATGCTCTTCAATACAATTAATTAAATACGTGTTTAAGCATTTATCGAAATTCATCCAATAAGGGGGTAAAATAGCGGATGAAAGTTTGTGTGAAACCTACCATTTTAGAGGTTTTTTTTGTAGTTTTAGCGCGAGCGAAGCCGCGGGTTCTGCTAGTATGTAATATATATGTAAAATGTAACCTAACCTACTTATGTTTGTAAAACTAAGGCATCTAAATAAGAACATACAGAAAAGCCATTAACTTTGGTCATAATATTTTATATAATTTTAGTTTCTTTAAGTTCCATAGAAATACAAGTAAAGCATAACTTTCACCGTCACAAGCTTCAAAGGGGTGATATTTAGTACGTACATAAGTCGAGACCTTGCAATGACGACATGCACTTTCTATTGCACACGATGCTTGAATACTAATCATTTGATGCAATTGTAAACCACAAGTTATATGATAAATGATACTCTTAAGCACTATTAGGTTTATATCACACCTATTATATTTTTAAAGGCGGAATTCATACATCGCACTAACACTTTATGACCAAGTGCTCTTCTAAGCAAAAGATATGTTTAAAGTCTTGTCAAACGCTTACTTTACTTTAAAAAATCTTACTTGCCTTAGTAAAGACTGAGCAGTTATTATTGGTTATTTAGGAATCAAATTAGATTTAAAATTGACTATGCGAACAAGTTACGTATTAGCTTTGCATCAATATCTAATTATGACAGAATAATGCCCGATTTCACCAACGTCACCTAAGCTTAAGGGATCCCCTAAGAATGGCTACGGGGCTGTTAGGGGACAGTTTCTGTTTCACCGACCGTTTAGGGGTCACCTAAATGTTAAAATGCCACCTAAATATAGGTACTAGAAATACGGGCTCTGATGATGGTAAAACGAAATTTAATTTAGGGGCTAGTTTAAGGGAACTTTTAAGCTAGGGATCCCATACGTAGGTGGTAGCTTATGGGATGTTGGTGAAATCGGGCATAAGTCATTTAAATTTATACGGGTTATTAAGTTTAGGAATATGTCAGAAAATGTCAAATATATAATGTTTTATGTAGATGTTAAATATATTAACACACTGTCCCTGGAATGCACTAGAATTGAATTTTGTGATGCAAATGACATGTACTCGTACTTTCTACTGTTAGGCAAATTCATTATTGCGCGAACACACTTACCTACATTTAACTATGCAGATTTAAATATGTATCTTTTGAATGATTTAACTATGTAGTATAGTTTTAATATATAGCGTATGATTAAAATAAAGAAGTGGATGTCATAATATCTGAGTGTCACATCCATTTACAAAATAAATAAGTTTTGTCTTGCTGTTTTAACATTATTTTGTGACATACAATTTTTTTTATGATAGCGATTGATGACACGTTTGGCTCAGTTTGTAGTGACTCTACTTGCTGTGCCAGCGGTTGGGGGGTACGTATAAAAATATGTATATAATATACTAATTTTAAATTTAATTAAATCGCTTTCCAGTCAAAAATAAATTGAAAGAGTAGATAAAAGGATTAATTCGAAGTGTTTGAATTTACCATTTTTTTTATTAATTTACAATATTTTTGATTATATAATCTGTACTTTAAAAACACCGAAATGATTGTTTTTATTTTCATTGTTTTATCTATATTTGACCTTGAATTAACTAAGATCGATCGCAACTTGTACAATGATTTAAGCATATTTCAACTTGACTTCGCAACGTCTCAATGATTTCTTACTCAATATCCATTAAGGGACTCTGTAGGGTTGTTACAAAATATGTAGGTGACTAAATAAATATATTTTAAATATCATCATATAATTGATAATCCGAATGGATTGTCAATTTAAATGTTAAACTACTTAAAAAATATTGACGTAAAATGATTGGAGTAAAAGTAAAAAAAATATGATGCAATATTGTGTTTTTGCTAGCAAAGCTGTTCGAGTGGTCGTCCATAAAAAAGTTTATTAGCCAAAGGAGTAGTTTTCTATTATGGAATTCATCTTTTGCTCATATTATTCGGTTAATAAGTACCAAAAATAGTCCCCAAATGCACCAAACTAAGATATAAATGTGAACTTTCGGAAGTAATTACTATAAAGCTTAAACTGATTGGGTACTTATATTGTACTTTTCATCTTTATATTCAGCCCTTTTCAACGTCCCACTTCTGGGTACGGATCTCCCTTCAGTACGAGGGGAATCTGGCCATAGTCCACCACGCTGGTCAAGTGCGAGTTGGTGGAACTTTTCATCTTTAGTCGAAAAAAAAATGATTGTAGTATATTTTTTTATTCATATTTTTCCTTCATCGCCAACCCTGTTTTTAGGCCGAAACAAACAATATGCATTGTATCAGTCCGCTAATCAGATGTGATGGATGAACGAGTTCTCTACAAACGATTAATGCGTTTGAACTATCGATATTATTCGTGTCGTAACTAGCACCTGACAAAAGCTTTTATTTTGCAATGGCGTAAAGCTTACAATTTCAAGGACATATAAAACTTTCTCGACTTAGTTATGCGAATCAGTTTGTGTTTATTTATGCCATATAATATAATTATGTAATATAATATTTTTTTTAACTTTTTTTTAATATATTGTTAAAAAGAAAATTACAAATATACTTAATTATATATACAAAACAAATGTACACTCAATGATTCGAATATTAATAATTATAATATAATTAAAAATATTTTCTTTCAATGTCATAAGTGCAACCTTGACTTTGAATGTATGTATAATGTGCAATGTACATATTATATGGCCTTTTTTGGCTTTTTTATGATAATATTTGGACTCTATTTACTCTGTTGAATAAACGTCGTGATGTAAAACTTATCGTAGTTTTAGAAGGTCCTTATTTATTCAAACAACCAATACTTATTGTACTTTACAGTAGATAAATTTTTCTTATATTTTAAAAACAAAAATTTATTTGTAAGATTTATATTTTATATACATACTTAATAAGCATGTAGATAAAATTCATTGTTAGGTTTTTTTAAAGTGAAATGTGTATTTAATACCAATAGAATTGATATTTAAAAGTCCATAAATCTGTAATAAAAACTCTTTCGGTAAATTGGTCATTTGGAAAAATTAATAAAGTAAATTGTTTGAAAAACAATAAACTATTACTATGAAGGTTCTAGAAAGTTTGAAAGTTACGTCTTAAGTCTTTAAACAGTAGTCAAATCGAATTCAACGGCCTATTGTTGCATATATTCTTTAGTTCATACTGTATAGCCTAAGTTAGGTAAAAACATGGATTTTGGCACTTATAATAAGTTACATAAGGAGAATTATTCAGAAATTATAATTAATT